CAATTTTTAGACTAAACAAGCCATTGGCGAGGCACTTTCGAAAATCCTTGGATATTTTGTCTACCTTTCTTCCAATCAGATGAAGAAACTCAAAATGGGAGATGAAGTGCATAATACTGGTCCATTTGATTGTAAGTTTGATTAAATTAAAAATTAACGTCGTTTTGGTAGTACTTTGGAGTCACCCCCTCCCCCTTCCCCCATTTCCCTGACCATTATAAGCTCTTTTACTTGATATATAATTTATTATATATCACTCGAAAGAGCTCTTAAAACTGCCGTGATCGGTTAATTTGTTCATTTTAAACAAAATTATGAAGTTAACTTGTCGCTGGAAAAACTTCTTGTCTCGGTTCAAGTGATTAAATGTTGATTTAGGTCGGATTTCATTGATTTTAGTGTCATTCGTCTTACTCGAAGTGCTCTTTAAAATGGTATATAATGTATTAAAATGTAAAAAATAGAAAGGAAAAGGGGGCGATTTCCAAAGCATTACCGACGTTTTTTAAAAAATTTTCCCTTTTTATAATCATTTTTAAGCCATTTTTGTTGTGCTTCGTGATTTTGCTGGAGAGGCGCCTTTTTTGGGAGAACTTTTAAATGTAATTTAAAATTAATTTTTTTATGAATTTTAATTTTTAGACAATCTTACAACTTCCACAAAGTCCTCAAGGAGCTTGGCCTGAATGGCCGACAAAATATTTTACTGACCCGAAGGGGGGTGTAAGTTTCTATTTAATTTTTCTTAAAAGTAGATTCCGTATTTCTTAAGATAGAATCTAAGCTGAAATAAAAATTTTTTTTAAATAAAATCTAAATTTAGTGGGACGGTATCAACAAGGCAAAAATCAGCATTCTCAAACTTCTATTTGGCCAATTTGTCGAATTTTACAAACTTTCTAATGACAATTTCACTCTTCCTTTTTTGAAGGAAATTCTTCGACTTCTTAAAGGTTTACTTTTTTAAAATTGTTATTTAAATTTTTCTAAATTCCAATTTCAGGAATCCTTTCGAATTTGAGCGAACTTTTTGGGGTGAAAAAGGAAAACGTGAAGAGTGTGAACTGGGATGACTACAATGATGGAGACGACGGGGCTGGTCCCAGTACCTCTGGGACTGGTCCAGGCACCTCTGGAGATGGGGCCAAACCGCCCAAGATGCGAAGAATTATGTAAAGGAATTTAAAAATTATTTTAAATAAATGTTTAATTTTAAATTGTTGGATTTTGTTTGATCAATATAAATTGTTTGTTTGGGGATTGTAAGCATGTTTTTAATTGATCTGGGGGGGGGGGTCAAAGGCAAGCATAGTCGGAGAATAAATCAATTTCTTGTCGAGTTATAATGATGAAGATAGTGGAAAAATAGTTGAGTGTATTTTGATTAAAGTAAGGATTATTCAAATAAGCTATGAATAAATTGTTCGATAATAGAGTCCCAGGACTGAAAAAGCAAGACTGTGGTGACCTGTTCCATTTACTACTTTTTATATTTTGCCTGATAGCACAAGAGTTGAAAATTAAATTTAAAGTGCAAACATCCCCCAAAAAATTTAACCATGAAAAATAAAAATTTTAAAATATCTGCTGAATTGATTTCTGAAATCGTCGCCTACATCCATTTTCACCATAAATGGGGAAAGATTCGTGTTTCTAAATTATTCGATCTATTAGTTATTAAATTTCATAAAAAATTTATAACCGAAATGAAAATAGTGGGTTTTAAGAAAAATTTTAAATTTGGTTTTTAGAGTTAATAAACTTGATACTTACTAATTCAATTTTTAGACTAAACAAGCCATTGGCGAGGCACTTTCGAAAATCCTTGGATATTTTGTCTACCTTTCTTCCAATCAGATGAAGAAACTCAAAATGGGAGATGAAGTGCATAATACTGGTCCATTTGATTGTAAGTTTGATTAAATTAAAAATTAACGTCGTTTTGGTAGTACTTTGGAGTCACCCCCTCCCCCTTCCCCCATTTCCCTGACCATTATAAGCTCTTTTACTTGATATATAATTTATTATATATCACTCGAAAGAGCTCTTAAAACTGCCGTGATCGGTTAATTTGTTCATTTTAAACAAAATTATGAAGTTAACTTGTCGCTGGAAAAACTTCTTGTCTCGGTTCAAGTGATTAAATGTTGATTTAGGTCGGATTTCATTGATTTTAGTGTCATTCGTCTTACTCGAAGTGCTCTTTAAAATGGTATATAATGTATTAAAATGTAAAAAATAGAAAGGAAAAGGGGGCGATTTCCAAAGCATTACCGACGTTTTTTAAAAAATTTTCCCTTTTTATAATCATTTTTAAGCCATTTTTGTTGTGCTTCGTGATTTTGCTGGAGAGGCGCCTTTTTTGGGAGAACTTTTAAATGTAATTTAAAATTAATTTTTTTATGAATTTTAATTTTTAGACAATCTTACAACTTCCACAAAGTCCTCAAGGAGCTTGGCCTGAATGGCCGACAAAATATTTTACTGACCCGAAGGGGGGTGTAAGTTTCTATTTAATTTTTCTTAAAAGTAGATTCCGTATTTCTTAAGATAGAATCTAAGCTGAAATAAAAATTTTTTTTAAAATAAAATCTAAATTTAGTGGGACGGTATCAACAAGGCAAAAATCAGCATTCTCAAACTTCTATTTGGCCAATTTGTCGAATTTTACAAACTTTCTAATGACAATTTCACTCTCACTTTTTTGCCGAGAATTCTTCAACTTCTTAAAGGTTTAATTTTTTAAAATTTTTTTATTTAAATTTTTCTAAATTTCAATTTCAGGTATCCTGTCAAATTTGCGCCGACTTTTTGGGGTGAAAGAGGAAGACGTGAAGAGTGTGAACTGGGATGACTACAATGATGGAGACGACGGGACTGGTCCCAGTACCTCTGGGACTGGTCCAGGCACCTCGGGAGATGGGGCCAAACCGCCCAAGATTCGAAGAATTAAGTAAAGGAATTTAAAAATTATTTTAAATAAATGTTGAATTTTAAATTGTTGGATTTTGTTGGATTAATATAAATTGTTTGTTTGGGGATTGTAAGCATGTTTTTAATTGATCTGGGGGGGGGGGGGGGTCAAAAATGTAAGCATGGTTGGAGAATCAAACATTTTTTGTAAGTCCTAATAATGAAGATTTCTAAATTTTAGGGTGGCTTTCTAAGTTCTCCAGTCAGTCGGCCTTTAAATTCCTAATTAACAGTTTAATAATTTTTGAAAATTGGAAAATAGTAATTTAAAAACAATTCTTTTTCCTAATAAGTTCCTTCTTCTTCCAAAGCATTTCCACCTTCATCTCCATAATCTTCACCTCCATCAAAATATGTTTCTATATAATCATTTGCATCTTCTGCTAAATAATCCTCATCAGAATATTCAACTTCCTCATCATCTTCATTTGTTGGTTTTACTGTTTGTGTTTCTATTTCGTCTTCATCCACTTCTTTTTCTTTTATTTCTTCATTTTCTGTTTCCTTTAAAAATATTTTTTTTAGAAATTTTTAAAAAAATCAAAAAATAAACCTTTTCTCCAGGATGACCTTCACGTTGTCCTAACCTTTCCAGAAGCGCGTTTTCGTCAATTCTGGCTCTTTTAGCGGCGCGAATATTTGCTTTACTTTTAGTTTTCCAATTAAGTTCTGATGGAAGTCTGTTCCAATCTTAATAAAAAAATTTTTGGAAATAAGGACGAAAGGTTATTTAGTGCCGAAAACGAATTCTCCTTAAAAAGGGGGACTAAAAATATTAAAAAAATATTTCATTAATAAATTTAAAATCAAAAAACTAACGTGGCTCAAAAGTTTCCTTATCCATCAATCTGTATTTGTCCGTGTACTAAAAATAAAAAACAAATTTAAATAAAATCAAAATTCTTTTACCCTTCTCACATCCCTCTTTCCAGTTTTTTTCGAATAAAAAGGAGATTCTCGAAAACGATTTAAAAATTCTTGCTTTGTATCAACCATAAAAGCGAGTTCTTTTGTTTCTTCTAAAGGTAAAGGGGTTTTATCTAATGGCTGAAAATTTAAAAGAAAAAATTTTAAGAAAGAAAAAAATTTCAAACTGGATATAAAGGCAAAGGCTCATTTCGAACTTGTTGAGCATTATATTGACTAACATCTTGTCTGCTTATTCCTAAAACCTAAAAGTTTTTTTTTTAATTTAAGAAATTTTTAAATAAAAAACAAACATTTGCAATTGCACGAACACCACTTGTGGAAGCCCCTCTACCTCCTCTACTCATTTTTGAAATAAATTTTAATTAGAAAAAAAGCAAAAATAAATATAAAAAATAACTAAAATTAACTAAAAAAACAAGAAATAACCGGTTAATCTATAAATTAGTGGAAGGTGACCGTTTTTCTATCTGACATTTTGTCAATTCGACATTTTGAAATTGTAACAGAAGTTTACATTTTAAGCGTCTTCTTTCAAAAGAATTTCAAAAAACCAAACTTTTATAAACTAAATCGTTCGCCAAATTTAAAATTAACAATAAGCGTTACTTCCCATCTCTTTGTTTTGTTTATATTAATTTAATCTCTAAAGGTATTTTTAGATTTTTAATTTATTTATTTCATCGTCGTCAATGATTGAAACAGAAAATCACAAAGTTGTGATTGTTCTTGATAGAAGTCCAAAGTTTGCTGCATTGGCTCCGACAGCAGTAAGTTTTAAATTAATTTTTTTGTATAAACAATTTGAGGGTTACCTAGTTAATTTTTTTAAGTTTCGGCTTGTTTACGTAGTGAAAAGATAGACTAGCCCGATTTTCCTTAGGATTTTCTAGTAAAAAATTTCCCTATTTCAAAATTAAGAATAAGCTCACTAATTTAAAAATTCATCAAAAATTTTCCAACCCTTCACCAAATTTATTTTTTATTGTGGAAAAATGATCAATTTATGACTATCATATAGGCAGGAATATTTTCAACATTTTTAAATTACTTCCCCAAAACTATCATTTTTCTTCCCTTTCTTTAATTTCTTTCAAACTTCAAGCATTATATTTCCCCATCCATTCATCCCACAAAGCCAAAGCATTTTCAACTCCTTTTTCCTAAATTCTTATTTAAATTTATTTTTTTAATTATTTTTTACCTGAACTTCTGTACGAGCATCTTCAATCACAACAGTTCCATCCGGCTTTATAATACGAAAAGTTGGAATTGTTTTAACTTCGTATTTGGACAAAAACTCGCTAAAATAGAGCAAATTTTATTTTTTAAATTAAAGGAAAATTATTTTGAGTAATTTTGGGGAATCCTTGGAAAATACTTCTGATTTTTTCCACCACTAACAATAGAAAGCTAAGTCGGGAAAAATGTCATGTTATTGACATTAAATTTAGGTGTATGCAAATGTTGTCCGCAAGAAAATGCGGACATATCTTTACAACCCCAGAAGTCTCCCAAAATCCACCAAGTCTCCCCCAACAAAAAACTATTTAAAACCCATTTAGTTTCAAAAACTTACTCAATCTTCGGATCGCCAAATTCCAAATAAGTCCACGCTCCATGATGGTCATTATAATATTCCTTCAAGTCATTGGCTGAGCGATCTCTAGAAACAAAAATAACTTCAAAATTCTTCCCTGCAGCCTTCAAGTCCTCGTAGAATTTCTTTAAAAAATTTGAAAATATTTTCAAAAATAAACAAAAAAACCTTCAATTTTGGAGTAAAAGCCCGGCACGGTGGGCACCACATTGCAGAAAAGTAGAGACCAACAACTTTGTCATTTAAATATTCCTCAGCATTTGCTTTGCTTTCGTCTTTCAAAATAATTTTTTGTCCGGCTAAAACTTGGGACATTTTATTTTTTGAACTGAAAATTGAATTGGATATTTAATTTTTGTTAAATATCGAACTAGAAAAGTGAATTTGTTGGTGAAAATGAAATTTTTTGAACAGTGTTAAAGAGACGAAATAGTTTAGATTGCATATAATTTTTTACCTAAATTTTGAGTTTTTAAAGGAAAAATGAATTGAATGAGGCCTTAAAAAGTAATCATTTTTTTGTGCGTTTTGTGATAATAAAGTATGACGAATTTCGTTTTTAACTTGTGAGTATGACGTAATATTTAATTAGAATTTCATAAATTATGTGGGGATGTGGTTAAAATAGAAATATTAAAATGGGGGAAAATAACATTGATTTACGCTGGGAAATTGCCCCGATTTGTAGAAAAAAGTAAACATTGCTTGGAAAGCAGCCTAGCGTCGCTTTGCTTTGGTTTTTTTAGTAATTTTTGTTCATTTTATGGCTGAAAAACTTTCTTTGGGGAGAACTCTTTCTATTCTGCTTCTCTAATTCTCTTGTTGTCTGTGTTCTCTGACTTTTGACATTTCGCCAAATTTATTTTTTTATTAAATTTATTTAAATAAATAACCAATATCCCTTTTATTTTTTCAAATTTCCTTTTTAATTTTTAGGAAATCCCAACAACAACAACCCCTTCAAATGACACAAAACCTTCAAAAACTTTGTGGAATTGTTCAATAGAAGCTGCCTTAGAATTTCATCGAGTTGTTTCTGATTTATTTCCTCAAGGCCAGAAACAATTACGCTATATTACTTCTGATTATGTTGGGAAATTTATTACACCTGGATGGTCTGATAATTTAATTACTCAAAAAGAGGTTTTTTATTTAAGCAATTTTTAAGTATTATAGTTTGTCTCTAATTATAGCTACTGCCTTTTTCTTGAAATAATTATATATCCTATAATGAGCATGTTTCTGATTACGAGGGGTTATCGCTTAAACAACTCCTTACAGCTAGGAGCTAGCCAAATTTTTATAAAAATCTAATATTCGTTTATCTTTTATTCTCAATATTAGGAATTATTATTCATAACCTTTTAATTGCTATAGTGTTGATTTTATTGAGAATAATAAGCTAATCTTAACAAAGAGCTTCTCATTAAGTGTTAGAGCATTAAATTTATAGATAAGTTTGCTTACAGAGGATATTTGTATATCCTTTCATTAATTTTATTTTTTTTACTTTTAAAGCTCTTTGATGCTTTAAATGCTTGTGAGGCCCCACAAGCTGGCGGCGACATTTCTTCTTGTTCAATACTTAATGGAATTTTGTTTGCTTTGGAAGCAATGACAGAAAGAAGTCCAAAACAGAGAAACGATTTGCGAGAATATTTGGATTATTTGGACCAAAAAGAAGAGGAAAGATTAAAATTATATGCTAGAGGGCCTAAAAGTTTTGATGAAATTTTGAAGGAAAAACAAACGAAAGGAAATTTTGGGAAAAATAATTTTAGAATAAATAATAAAGGGGCCGTTGTAATTATTACTTCTCTTGAATCGTAAGAATTTTAGAAGGGAATTTTTTCTAATTTTTTTTCAAATTTTAGAGTATCCGAATATGAATCCATTATTGAATATTTTACTGAACAAATTTTGGCAAAAAATGAATCTATTAAAACCGCAATTGATGAAAAGTTTGTTTTTTAAATTTTATTATTTTTATTTTTTTCTTGGGTTTTTATTTTATTTACTTCGAAAATTTTTTAATAATTAATTTTAATCCCCCCCCCCCCGGTTTGTCCGTGAACCTCAAACCTTAATTTTGAAGAATAATTTGATTTTGAGATTTTTGTCAGAATATTTTTTCTGCAAAAATTTAAGTCACCGGTTTAGGTTGTTTTTTTAGATAAAATTAAATAATTTTCGGTTAAAAAATTATTTTTTACTTTTCTAGTATGGTTCGTATTGACCAAACAGATTTATTTATTTTACATGTTGATTTACCTGGAAATCAAAATAATATAATTTCTAATAAAGAAAAGGTTTTTTTATAAAAATTATTTTTAAAAATAAAATTAAAAAGCAATATTCTTTCTTCAATTTTCGACTTTTTTCTGTTCTGCCTGGAATTAATTTAATTACGGGAATTCATCGAGTTTTACAAGATGTTTACTCACTTGTCTCTACTACTGTTGTTGGAATACCTATGAAGGTTTTTTCTGAATTTAAAAATTTATAAAAATTTTACAAAAAATTTTTTTGCAATGTTTTCTGGTGAAAAAATATTTTTTGAATAAATTAAAATATTTTGCCTTCGAAAGGGATCGAACCTTAAACGAACCAAAAAGAGAAACGACAATTAAACCACTGCACTATTGACGAACTAGTTGGGACTTTCTTAAAATTAATTAAAAATAACCTTTAAAATGAGATTCCCTTTTCAATAAAAAAATATTTTGTCGATTACAAATCTTTTCAAAAAGTTTTTTTTATTTTAAAAACTAATTTTTCTATTTTAAGGAAGCAAACCAAGCAGGCCAGTCAATTCATTATGATGTAGAATTACTGCATCCAAAAATTGCCCATTCTGCATTAAAAAATAGCGGTTTATTGGAAGAAAATAATTCAAAATTATTGGATAATCTAACTGTTCATTGGAATTTATTTAATTCTGTTCGTTTAAAATGGTGTACAGCAAAGGCTTTGAAAAATGAAATTGTAAGGATTTTCTCTCTTCAAAATTTTCATAAAGATGTTATCCCTGGTAAAAAGAAAAAAAAATTCTTTTACTAAAAATCTTTTTTCCTACAAAAATAGGATTAAAATTCGATAAAAATTAGGGATAATTTAGTGATTATATAGGGTGATTTTGCATGAGGCATGTGGTGTAGCGGTAGAAACCTCTCCAAACATCTCCCTCTATGTTTGGAGAGGTTATACCCATTGGTTCTAAACATTTTTTAAGTTATCAGATAAATGAAAAAATAATGTTTTTTAATTTTCAGATACCATTAATTTGTGAACAAACATATCCCTTCACTTTAGCATTTAATAAAAATAGAGCATCAATTTGTTTAACATCATTTGTAGTAAATGGAAAGAGTGTAATGTTGGAAGTAATTCAAGAAGCATTTCAATCATTAATTATTCCAAATGTTAAAGATAAATTAATTTCACATTATTTAAGTAAAAATGAAGAAGGAAGGCTTGTTATACAATTGGTTAATTTTGAAGAGAAAAAAGGTTAGAAAATGGGGGGGGGGAGGGGAGGGTTTGGATTAATAAAAAAGAATTTTTTTAGCAATTAAAACTGAAAAAATTGAAGAATTTACTACTCAAGGAATACCTCAAACAAGTCAAGCATCTTGTGTAGAACAACAAATCACTCCAAAAATTAAATGGGCTTCTACAAATCCGAGAGATGTTTCGGTTAATCCACAAGAGGTAATTTTTTAATTGAAAATAAAGATTGGTAGAAAACCAAAATGATTATTTGTTTGGTTAAAAAATCCGTTCAATATATACGTTCAATATATTCCTTTATTTTTAATTAAAATAATTTAAAAATGATTACTTTTCGACTACAATATTTAAAAAATTTATCCTTAAATTATTTTAAAAAATTTTAAAGGAGCATAGTTAACCCCAAAAATGATATTATGGAATTGTCTTACTAAAGAAATTAATGTTTAATAAATTAATCTTCTTTGCCAAATCTGAATTTAAAAATTATTATTTTTTAAATTTTTCTAGGAAATTTTGAAAACTCCAAAACGTCCATTAACAATAGAAGAAACTCCTATTTCAAAACAACAACAAATAAAATGTCAAAATAATGAGGAATTAATGAATCAAAGAATTAAACAAAGAAAACTCCAAATAGCCGAACTTTGGCAACCGAGAGAAGAATTAGATTTGTATGATTGGTGGCGTTCACAATATAAAACTAAATTTTGGGCTAATTGGAAAGGGGAATTTGAGGGAAGAAAAAAGTTTGGGGATAAAGCACAGGAATGTTTATATCCGGGATTGAAGTTGCCACCTGGACAGACAAAGTGGACGGGGACTGGAAATGCTGGACCTATTGAATAAATTAAGAGAGAGGGAAAGAAGATTGACTTCGTCTTTCGATGTTTTTTGTTGTTATTTACTTATCTGTCTTATCTCGGGCTCTATTGCTAATATTCCTTGGTTCATGTCATTAATAACACAGATTAGTTTTAAGTCATTCCTTCTCAGACCTCGGTTTATTTCCCTTTGTTCCTTTCTCCAAATACTCCTCAAGTACCTCAAGTAAAGCTTAGGTAGTTTCAAGGGAACTCCTTCCAATTCATCCTCTTTTTCTCTCCTAGAAAAGGGAAGAGGTTAGAACCTTGGATAAGATAGGAATTTTCTTTTTTATTACAAATATTTGTGTGTTTTTTTCTTAAAAAAATAAATTTAAAAATTCGTTTGTGAATAAAATTTCAAATTAAAAAATCGTAATTAATTTTTTCCATTCTAATTGGCCCAGATGGATAATTAAAGAATTTTTTATTTCGTTTATTTTCCTCCCACTTAACTAGTTGTCGTGTATGCTCAAATTCAGCTTCGTCTCTAAATCCATTTTTAATTAAAAGTTTTTGAAGTTGATAATTTCGAAGCTTTTTTTAAAAAGAGAATTTATTTAAAAAATCATCCAAAAATTACCTCCAAATTATTTTCTGTTCTAACAGAAAAATAAACATTTTGTTCAAGTTTATCAAGTAATTTACTATAACTAGCCAAATCATAGCTACTTAATCTTTCAATTCCAACAGAACTTATAGGGAAACGATTAAAAGGAATTCCGAGGGTTAGAAAAAATAATTGAATAAAAATTATTTTTGAGAGCATTTTTTTGAAATTTATAAAGTGTTAAATAAATTGTTTGCTATTTTTATTTTTAAAAATTACGAGGCATTCTTGAAAGAATACGTTGATTCATATAAATTTATTCTAAATATTAATCATTTTGGCAAGGTTAGGTGATTAAATGTAGTCATTATTAAATTTCTAACACTTTTTAACATTTAAATTTTCTGATTGTTTCCTTTTTTGATTAACAAAATTCTTACCATTTTTAAATTTTGAATGTTTTGACCATTTTGGAAATTCCCTGTTACTGACCATTTTGTAAAATTCCCCTTTATTGGCCATTTGTGTCAAACCTAAACCTTTAGGCTTGACACAAATGGCCAATAAAGGGGAATTTTTCAAAATGGTCAGTAACAGGAAATTTCCAAAATGGTCAAAACATTCAAAATTTAGAAATGGCAGAAGGCTTCTTGTTCTATCTTTAATTCGCAATAAGTAAAAGCAAGAAGTTTTTTGGTAAAAAAATTTTACTTTTTGGTTTGTTAGACATCTCATTGGACATCTTCAGGAAATACCACAAAGTTTTTCATGTACTTTTATTTTAACCTTCCAATCTTTTTGTACTTTTCATTTTTTATATAAAGGATTATTAGTTACTCGTGATTAACAGACAAATTTATATTTGCTTTAAGCTTGCGCTTTTTTATATAAAAAACATCTGAAGAAGTTGATTAAATAAAGGAAAAAATGAAAAGAAAAGAAGAAAAAACACCTTCTAGTACTTACACTTATTTTTCTTTTATTTTATAAAAACATTTAATTCACTAAATTCCCCCATTTTCTCGTCGTTAAAAATGTCCGCTGTAAAACGTTTTGTTGACAGTGTAGTTATTATAACTGGATCTTCTGCAGGTATTGGAAGGCAAACTGCTTTAGAATTTGCTAGGGAAGGAGCTTCTGTTGTTATACATGGGCAATGTAGGGAAAGACTTGAAGAAACAGAAAAATTGTTAAATAAGGAAGGAATTGGTCCAAAACGAATACTTAGCATTATTGGGCAATTAGAGAGAGAAGAAGTGCCTAAACAAATTTTAGAACAAACACTTGATAAATTTGGGAAAATTGATGTTTTGGTAATTTTTTAAACAATGTTTTTTTTAATTTTGATATTTGGAGTTTAATAGAAAAATTAAAATCTTAATTATAAATGAAAAAATAATGTCAAAAAATTTTTATGTCTTAAAAAGCAAAGTTACCAGTTAACATGAAAGAGAAAATATTTTGTCCAATGAACAGACTCGAACCCAAGTGAAAACAGAGGCTAACCGAGAACACTAACCACTACACCATACAACAAATTGAATCGATCACCTTATAAACACTATTTGTTTTATTTAAAATAAAATAGAATTTTTAGGTAAACAACGCCGCAGCTGGTTGTAAACCGGGGATAACTTTCAAAGCTGGCTCTGACGCAAATTCTTTAGCTAATTTAGACTATTTATTTGCGGTTAATTTGAGAAGGTTAATTTAAATAAAATTCTTTAATTCAAAAAATTTTTCAAGTGTTGTTCAATTACTTGAAGGCGCTCTCCCTTATTTGGAGGCAACTAAAGGAAATGTTGTTAACATTTCTACGAGTGGCGCCCTTCGACCTTTACGTTCTGCTGCTTTCTATTGTGCACTTAAAAGTGCTTTAAATACTTTAACTGAAAGTTATGCACAGATTTGGGGTCCAAAAGGTGTTAGAATTAATAATGTTAGCCCTGGACCTATTAAAACATTAATTTTTGAACGCAACGGAATTTGCGGGACAAGGAAAGAACAGGCAAGTTTTGATACAAAAAATAATGTCGAGACTAGGGTTATGCAGATCCAGATATTTGAAAATGGGAACGTAACCTCTTCTAATTAAAATTATATTTTTAATTTTTAGCATAAAAAATGGGTAGAATCAGCAACATTAATGGGAAGATATGGAAATGTTGAAGAAGTTGCTGCTGTTATTAAATTTTTGGCTAGTAAAGAAGCAAGTTTTGTTTGTGGGGCTAATTGGTTAGTAGATGCTGGAATGGCTATAAAAGCAATACCTGTTGATATTAGTGGAGAAATTATTTGGAAAAATTAGACAAAATTTAAACTAAATTCAAAACTTTAATTTTATAAAGTCCCCAATCTCAAATTAAATATATATACAATTTATAATAATCCTCTATTTTATTTAAATTTTGACAAGGAAAAAATTGTTCAGCCAGATTTTTCATTAAAAAAAGAATCTACATATAAGTATCAGGGGGTTAGCCGACTCGATTCCCGAAATCCGGATTAAAATTTTTCAGGAATTTTGAAATCGGGAATTTATTTTTTTGTTGGCTAGACCCCTGATAGGTAAATAAAATAGAGGTATAACAATAAATATTAGAAAAAGGAAAAATAAAAAATAAAGTTAAAAAAATATTTTTCCCATCAAGGCTCTTAATATTTTTTTACAAAATTGGGGGTTTAACGAATTTTTAAAATAGAGTTTTTCCCTATTAAAATCCCCCCTGACTTCCAGAAGGAAAATTTGGAGGTAATTGACTTCCTCCTCCTCCAGCAGTTGATTGTTGCTGTCCTCCACCCATTAAATTAACAGGAGGCCCACCTCCATGATGTTGACTTGCAGACATTTGTGCTGCCATTTGTTGTTGTTGTTGAAAAGCAGCAAAACTCATTTGGTTGGGAGTCATTTGACTTGAATTAATAAAAGGCTGAGGACCTTGCTGTCCAAAATTAGAAGGGCCAGGTCCCATCATGTAATGCATATTACTAGATGAGGATGAAGGTATTTGGTGACCAGAGAAGGGAGTAGAGGCTGAAAATAAAAAAAATATTTTTTTATGAGAGAATAGGCCCTGCCAAATTTTTAAAAACCGGAAACAGAAGGAAGAAAATCTCTTTAATTTCCTATCCTTATGTAAAAACGGGATAAAAAATTACTAGGCATCATTCCCATAGAGGTTGATTGTTGTTGAGAATATGGAGGGGGTGGAGGAACAATTTGTTGTTGTTGTTGAAGTCCTTGATTTGTATTTGAATTACTAGGTATTGAACTAAAGGAAGACATTGAAGTACCAGGAATATTTCCCCCCATCATTGGATTTATTGAATTATTAGAAGAAGGGAAATGTGGATGTTGATAAGAAGACATTTGGTGTTGTTGTTGTAGATTTAAGTTACTTCCAAGTTCTCCATGAGAGCTTAAAGAAGGATTTGAAATACCTCCATATTGTTGCATTATTGAAGCTGAATCACTTTCTGGATGACTTAAACGTCTAAGCATTCCTGCAAGTGCTGGGGTAGAGGAAGGTTGTTGCTGTTGTAAATCAAAAGAAGATTGTTGTTGAAGCTGAAAATAAAAATAATTTTTAGTGAAAGTATTTCTGGAAAGAAAAAATGTACAGTTTGTTGTTGTTGCTGTTGTTGATGTACAGCAAACATAGCTGCTGCATTTGGAATTCCTGGTAATAAATTGCCAAAGGAAGATTGGTGTTGCTAAAACATCTTTTTAATTAAAAGTAGACCTTATGTTTGGATATCCGTTGGGAATGAGGAAATTGTACCTTATAATGAGAGCCTTAATTTAGGGGTTCAAACACCTCTTACCCAATATTAAACTAAATTGAGGGATCTTATAAAATAAAGTCAGCCTGTAATCAAATAAAAAAAGAAACCAAAATTTGTTGTTGTTGAATAATTTGTTGCATTTGTTGTTGTTGTATTTCTGATGCAGCAGCACTAGAATGTGTTAAAAGAAATTTGAGTTTTTCACGCATAGATTTCTTTAAAAATAATTTTTTCAATTTTAGAGAATTCAAAATTACAGGAAAAGAGCTTATTGTCTCTTCAATTTGATCTTTCAATGTATAACCAACAAACATATATTTAAATTGATATAATAAATCACAAATTGTATCTTCATATTTTAATTTTCCAACTTTTTGTGTTAAATTACCAAGAACTTTATAAATTGTCACAATCTGGAAAAAGAATTTTTTTAAAGATATTCCCAAATTTTAAGAATCTTATTGGCATAAAATATAGTTTAAGTTGTTTATTGGGCTCTCTAATAAGCTTATTATTGGGTTCTGGATTGATTTTAATTCTTGAGATTCTTTAATTATGTAGTTAGGAAAAAGAGAGAGGAAGCTCAAAAAATGTCTGGGTAACTTGGGTCCAAGTCTTTTGTCGATGCTTCGAACAGGAGAAGAAAATCAAGCTCCGGTCACCCACCCATCCTTTTTTTGAGCTATCCTACTAACAAATAAAAGAGAAGAAGGTTCCACTGTTGTATTCCATAAAATCTTAAAGAATAATTTTTAAAAAATAATTTATTTTCTTCCTCAAAAAAATTTACCTCAATCATATGTCGATGTCTTTCCCTTTCTGTAATTCTTTGTAAATAAGGCATTACAATTCTCAAAAAATAAATTAATTGTGCTTCATTTTTCACTTTTTTAGATAATCTTTGAACAATTAAATCGGGTATAATATTTAAAGAATTATTCCCTCCATGCTGACAAAATGAATGAAAGAGTGCCAACATTGAAAGAATTTTACTTTCAGAATGTAAATAAACTTCGTTTGAAAGAGATTCAAATAATTGGGATGGATCAGAATTAATTTTAGATATTTGTTCCCAATCAAAAGATTGCTCAATTTTATCCAAAAAGACGGACTGAAAAGAAGAAGGCAATCCTGTTAGTAGTAAACCTAGAGCATTTAAAGTGTCCTTAAAAAATTTTTTATAAAATTTTTGAAAACAAAATTTTACTTGAGGCCGAGATATTGGTCTACGTATTGCTAATTGAACGAGAGCATCAATTATATCAGCCGGTGAATGTCGAGAAGCCAGTAATTCTACCCAGGCGCTAGTTAATGCTTGTGCTGCTGGCTGAAAATAAATTAAAGAAACATAATTAAATTTGGAATTTTTCATATAAAAAATTAACAAAAAAACAAGGACTCAGACCAATAGGGAAACATAAAGCACATAATTAATTCACAAAGTGTGAGAGTTTAGTCATCATTATCCTCGAACCTTTACCTCTTTCTTAAAAATTTGAGAACGCTAACCACTACACCACAACAAATGATAGCAATATAAAATTAAAATATATACAGGAAATTCAGCAAATCTCCAATCAGAATGAACAAAAGAAGGTGGCTGGTGTGTATAAGTGCTCGCCTGAACAATTCTTTCTACAAGAGTTCGACAAAATTTAATTGGTGGCATCTTTAAAAAATATTTTTATTTTTAAATATTTAATCAAAAATTTTCCCTTACTTGATGATCTAATTGAATAAAGTCTGAAGTTAACAATTTTCCAACAGGATTTCTTCCAAGTGGAGTTTGGGGAATTTCTTCTTGTTCCAACTTTAAGACGATTTCAAGTACAAATTTGCGAACGGGACGGCTAAGAAATGATTGACAGTTAGCAGCTTCTTGTTGATGAGCAAGTAAAATATCATCCAAAGAGTAAAGTGTTGTATATAGAAAATTCATTGGTTGAGCTTAAAACAAATAAATTTGACAAATGTTTTAAACAAAATGAGGGAGGTGGGGTTGCTGAAACAAGGCTTTTAGGAAAGAAAAAAAAACTATCAGAGGCAGTGTTGTCGGTTCGGAATCTAACCAAGGATTTAAAGGTTCGGTTTCGGATATCCAAAGATTTCATTTTAAGAGTTCGACGAGTGAGTCGAATGCGATTAAATCCGAATTATTGACTGTGCTGAACAAAGTTATGATCAGTTAGATCAAACCTAACAATAAGAGACGATGCTTTGTTACTATAAAAGCGCCCGAATTTTTGTTTAAAAACAATCCGACAACAATAACACGCTATTCTCAACGTTCCGGCAGCAGTAAACTTTCTCTACACATCAAGGATGGCTCTCAACATCGATCCGCCTGGGAGTACCTTCGACGCTGTCAAAGGAGGTCTCAACAAGCATACAATCGTCAACACAACGGACAAGCGTCATGCATTCAAGGTAAACCTTATAATCTCCCAAATTTCTCGTCACTAAAATTTTTAATTTTCCAGATCAAATGCAGCAACAATATGTTCTACCGCGTCAGTTCTGTGTACGGCTTCGTCGACCCCAATGGCAAGAAGCCGATTGATGTGCATCGTCTCCCTGGAGGATCTCCTGGCGCAGATCGATTCGTCGTCCAATGGGCAGAGGTGCCTGCTGATGAGCTTGATCCGAAGGCGCCATTCCTTGCTCAAGCACAGTCCGGAGAGGTGGTCTTCAATGTCTCGGCCGCTTCTGGTGCCGCCAATTCTGCCGCCGCCAATTCTGCTGCTCCTCCTCCTGCTGCCGAGGAGAAGAAGGAGTGAAGCACCGGAAGAGATCGCGAGATGACTGTCAGGAAGGAGCAGGCAACAACAAAATTGAAGCGGATGAGCATAGGATGATTCATAATTCCCATTGTATTTTTTCTAACCCCAATCCATAGTGTATTGTATATTTCGCCTGTTGATTATTATGTCCTTCAAGATGTATGTATATATATTTGTTGTATTCTTGATATAAAATATTTGTAATGTGTGTTTTTATTTTTAAGTTAGGAATTTAACTCTGATCTTGACCAAATTAGGTAATATTGCCTTTGACCCCTCCAAATCCCTCTTAATCCGCCGGATCCCTTGATATGTTTCCTATACAACTTTGTGTTGATCATAAGTATCGGTATTCAGGGTCAATGAGCATCCAAATTTCTGCCTATGGCACCAAAAATGTATGAAATATAAGCGTGGAATAACTCCTATTTCATCAAAACTAAATTTCGCCCACTACTAATAAAGAAAAATCTCGGTTCGGTTCCAGATATCCGAAGATTTTCCAAGAACCGACAACTCTAATAATTATGAGGATATCGGATAAAGTATTTAAAAAATAAATTTACGATGAATCCTATAAATAGGAGAAAAATGGCAAAGTAAAGTATCCATAACAGCAGGTTTTAAATCCATAGAAATTGCTTTTTGTAATAAAATATCAACAATCTTTAAATAAAAATTAGATAAGTAAGTATTATTAAAATAAAAAAATAGTTACTGGACATATTCGTTCAGCTAAATGTCCATAATATACAGGTAAATTATGTACTATTTCTTGTTGTTGTTGTGCTTGTGGATTTAAAGAACGTCTGTAGAGTTCAGCAATAGAATATTCAGGATATTTCTGAAATTAAATAAAATTTAATTGACAGAAAAACAAGAGAAATTAAAAAAAATATTGACAAAAAGGTAAAGAAAATTGAAAAGAAAGAGAATAAAAAATAAGGAAAGCAAATAAAGGATAAAATTTCTAAAAAGGATTTTTATGAAGATCAAAACCAATGAGTAGAACTGTAAGGGCTACAAGGTTTATTACAAGCGACAAAAAAACATCCCAAGGACGTATCCAGGGGGGAGTGCTAAAAGTCGGCGTGCACCAAAATTTTGGCGTTTACGGATACGCCCTTGGACAACCTGACACTTAAATTCTGTAACTAGAAAGTTTAAACGACGCAATGAAAGGAATAGTCAAAACATGAAAAGCTAGGAAACTTTGATCAATGAAAGGAAGTTTCCCATAAATTTAAAAATTCAAATAAAACCTTATAATATTCAACCATTTGCATAAAAAATTCTTCAGAATTAGAGCTTGTTGTTTGTGAATGTGAAGGTGCAAAAGTATAACAAGCATGTAAACGTTCAGGTAATTGAGAAAATTTACTTTCAAGTAATGCTGCTAACAAACAAAGAAGTGTTTTGTTTGATTGGTCATCAGTTGGATGAATGGCAATTGAAAAAAGTAGACGATCAACAGATAAAAATTGATGAGAAAAGAGCATATCATTAAGTATTTTAAGTATCTAAAAATCAAAAAATTTAGAAAAATCCAAATAAATTCCCTACATGAGGCAAATCATATTCATCATGTCCTTGTGTAGGCGCCGAATCTTGTCCTAACCATTCACATTTAGATGCCAACCAATCAATTAAAGCATTAGTTAGTTGATGTAATTCTCGATTTACTAACGCTCCAAGTATTTTATAACATAGAGCAAAAAAATTTGGTGTTGATGAAGGTGGAGGGTTTTGAGGTTGTGGAAATTGAAAATTTGTAAATTGAGATTGGTAAAGACAACGAAAAATAGAAATAAATAAAGTAGGAGGTTGTGAAGATGGTCGAGGTTGCTAGGAAAAAAAAATAATTTATTTCAAGGAAATTTTTTTATTAAAAATTACCATAAAATATTCAATATTTAAATGCACCAAATTTTGCATTTCTTGAGCACTTGCTTGTTCCAATTCTAATAATTTTTGAGAATGTTTAGCAGTCAATTCTTCTTCATTTTTAGCCATTTGTTTATGTAGAACTTGTTGTAAATTTGTTGGAAACCATTGAAGTTCAAATCTCGGCCATTGCCAGCCTAATTGTGGAATCATATCCATTAATGTTTTTTCATCAGCGGCTTGAATTGGTTGAACATCAGTGGAAAGATTTCCTATTAATTTACCATTAAATACTCGATAATATTCACTTCGATAATATCAACTCGACAACAAATATTTCAAAAATAAAAACTATGAACCAAAAACAAAAGAAGACAATATCGTCAAAAAACTCTGATATTTGAAAGCAAACTCGTGTATATTCAAGTTATAATATAAAGGAAAAAGTCAAATTCCGACTACATAAATTTTCGAAATCATTCTGTCAAGTTTGTCAAAGTGAATATTATCGAAATTATACTATAGTTACCTGTGGAAGGTTTGTAAACATCTCCTAATAATTTGAATGCACGAATAGCTTTGAGAAGTAAAATGCGGCAAATCTGAAAAAATGTTCACTTTTATTTTAAAACAGTCACAATTGTGGCATGTTAATTAATAGTAAAAGATTGGAAAAGAGACCCCAAAAGCTTAAATTAGAAAATGGAAATTTGGAAAGCCTTATTTCAGATTAGATTTAAAAATATTTTAATTCAAAAAATGAATTTAAAAAATTTAAAAAAATTTTTTTCTCACCTCCGGCGAAAATTTAACAATATATGTTTTTGTAAGTACAACTGCTGAAGCAATAATCAAATCATTTGGAAAAGTGCACTGCGCAAAACGTAACAAAGTTTGTTCTAAAAGTTGAGCCATTTGAATAATAACTGGCATAGGTGATTGTTCAATATTTTTATTATGTAATAATTGATCAATAATTTTTAGTATAAAAGCTAAAATCCAAAAAAAAACATAAATTAAATTTTCTTCAAAAATATTACTTATTCTATTTCCAAAATCCCATTTCCAACCAAATCCAATATTTTGAAGTCGAAAATTTAATAATTCCAAGAGAAGTGCCAAAAAATCATTTCGAGCCAAAAACATATTTTGTGACTCATTTTGCACCGGTTTTAATGTTAAGAGAACATGATAAAAGAAATTTGCTCCATCTTGATCACATAATTCAGTACTAAGTAAAAGACGTGCAATACTTTCTACTAGAGCAGGAGAAGGCAATCTAGAGAGAAAAATTAATAAAAAAAATTTTTTAAGAAAAAAAACCTAAAAATAGGTGGAGATGGTTGTTGTTGTTGATGCCCTAATGGAGGTAATATTAATTTAAAAACACGATTTAGAGCATAATTATATAGTTGACGTTTAGCATGAAATGTTAAAGAATCCAAAAATGTTAATTCTAAGGCACGAAGGAATGGCTCTGTTTTACGACCACATGGAAGTGTCCATTTTTCTTGTTGAATTGTTGGGGATATTGTCTATAAAAGTTTTTTTAAATACTTTTTTAATTCGAAAAATTTGCAGACAAAAGATCCAAAAAGACAAAATAACTAGAGCCTCGTTTTAGTCGGTAGTAGAAATCGGAATTTTTGAAAAGCCTGGGCCTGTTACTGGGTTTGATTTATTGGCCTGGGCCGGATTCTGGGCCTGTAGTCCATGGAAAACCCAGGCCTCAAAAAACCCAGGAATTTTTTTTACCTGGGCCCAGGCCTGGATTCCTAGGTTTTAGATTTTCAATAAATTATCAAATTTGAATTAAATTGCAATAATATCTGTACGTAATGAACGTCTAGCAAATAACTGCAAGGAGGCCGCAGGATCCTACTAAGGTCTAAACTTTTACCTTTCTCCCCTAACCTTAACTATTGTAAAACCCCAAAAAAACCAAAAAAAATTTAACCTGATTTCGTTGCTGCCCCACTTTTGACAATTCAGGAAAGACGGTATTATTTACATGTTCAACAAAAACATCGTGATTATTACTATATGAATTAGCTACAACAGCTAATAATGCAGTATTTCTTTCCAATTGCTTTTGGTCTTTATTATCTCGTAATTGATTCTCTAGAAAAATTTTTAAATAAAAAATATTAAAAAATAAAAAAACCAATAAAATCAATTAATTTTCGAAGTTTTTCAGGTGGTTGAGGCTGTGGAATTTGTTCAGATCCTGGTGCCGCAGAAATTGATGTGACCAGATGAGACCATATTGCAGCTGGGGCAAAGAAACGGACCTGTAGAAAAATTAATTTGAAATTTTTTTAAAGCTATAGGCAGAAATGAAAAAAAAGAAAAAAAAAAACCCTGACAAACAAATTTAATTTTTTAGTGCCTTAAAAATTTTCCAAAAATTACCATTTCCAATGGCTGTTCTGTTGAACAAGAATTGCCCCAATTCATTGAATTATCAGTATAAAGAACATTAAAAATTTGTAGAACTAATTCCCGATTTTCTGTATCAAGTCCAGCACTTGAGGGTAAACCCAAAACTGAAGCTGTAGAAGAACCACTGGCCAATTGTTTTTCTATTGATTTTGCATTAGAGATATATTGTAATAATATCCACATTAATTCTTCTTTAGCGTGCAAATACTAAATAAAATAATTTTAAATACGAGTTATGAATTTAAAAATATTGAAGACATTTACTTAAAAAATCTCGAAAACTCATTGTCATCAAGGGCGTAACTAGGGGGGCAGTCTGGGGCCAAAGCCCCCCCCCCCCCCCGAATTGGGGAAAAGGGAAAAATTTTAGGAGGGGATTGAGCTAAAAAGTAATTTCAAAAAATTGCCTGCGGCGCTGAAAAAAATAAAAATTTCGTGTTAAAAAATCTGCATTAGACTCATACCTCATTTTAGCCCTCCCCCCTGAAATCGACCACCTGGCTACGCCCTTGATTGCCACCACTCACCCCATAAAAATTCAGTAATTACATATTTTAAAAAAAAACCTGGCAACTTCGTAATGGAGGCAATAACATATGCAATAATTGATAAAGTGTACAATGTCCCATTAACAAGGCATAAGTAACCAAATGTGAAAGATGTAACCAATTATATTGATTTATTGGTGCCAAAACAGGTTGTTCACAATCTTCCATTGCAGACATTGCTTCTAAAATTAAAATTTGAATAACTTCGTCACATTGAAGTTTTGATGATTGCACTTGTGGCGAAGGACGTAAAATATGCTTTAAAATAGATTTTCAAAGAAAAAAATATTTTAAAAAATACATTTAAATTGTCCTGCCCATGTGGTTGTTTAAATAGAATATATTGGAAATACGTTTGTGGAGAAGAATTTTCACTAAAAATTTAAGTTTGATTTTTTTGAATAATTTTTAATTGATTTTTAATCAATTAGGATAAGAAGTTGAACTATTTGTAAATTATAGTTGAGATATATGGAAAATTTAAAATGACAGAGAAATGTTTCGAAAAAGAAACAAAAATTAGCTTTTTGCCAATTTGAAGAAAAAAAGAATATGCTTAAGGAGTTAAGGTGGAGTAGAAGAAAATATTAAAAATTAATCAAAAAACACTCTACTAACCTATTATACGGCAAATGTGTTTTAAAATGTAATTTGCACTGTCTATCATCTAATTTCCAAACACTCCAAGTAGGAGAATTCCAAGAAAAAATAGGACTTGCAGGTACAGGCCACATCCACGAACGTCCAAGCATACAACCAATTTCAGCTAGAGGGCGAAAAGAAGCTACCATTTCGCGAATTTTTAAAGAAACTCGCTAAAAATGAATTAAAATTGAAATTAAAAAAATAAAACCGGCAAAAAATGTATAGAAGAATGGTCTGTGTCAATCTTGCTAACTTCATTTATGAAAAATAAAGCAGGAGAAAAATTCTTTTGACGATCAACTAAATCTATGACCAGCTTAAAAATAAATTTTAAATAAAAAACAATCAACTATAAGATAATTAAAATTCATCAAAAACGGTTGGACTCAAAAAGAAAGAACTGCTGGCCCAACAACTACTTTCAAGGGCCGCATTATTTTTCTTAAAATGGTAGAAGGCGAAAAATCAAATTCCATCATTTAAATTTTAAAAAACCTCTTCAATAGGTTCCAATTGTTGATGCTGATATTCATCTAATAGATAATCCATCTTATCCAATTTTTCAACCAGTAAAAGTTTCACCAAATCTCTCAAATTTTTGTAATCCATTTGCTCAATACTTTTACGAACAAATTTTATTTTTTCTGGATTTAGTCTTCGTTCCATTCGAAAATCAATGGAGGTAACTAATAATTGGCACGCAAGTCTGGAAATAATTAAAGATTTTGAAGAAAATTTCTTTTAAATAATAAAAACCCACAATAAACTAATTATTTTTTCCTCTACAGCAGTTGTAATTATTTTTGTAATTATCTTGTCCAAAGAATACAAATACATTGTTTCAGTGTTGAGTAAATTTATTAAACCATAACAAGCAGGTTCTAATTTATCCGGGAATTCTTGCTGAAAATTTAATTTTTAAAAGTTTTAATACAAAATTTTCTTTTTTGGTGGGCATCAGAAAAGTCCAAAAATCTAGAGAAAAAGTAAATTTATTCCTCAATATTCAGGACATGCCAAGGTATTAAATATTCTTTTTTAGTTTCTGAATATCGGTTTAGTTAAATTATTTGGCTAACCGAACCCGATAAATAAAATCGAACTTTTTGGCCAGCCGAAAGCAAAGCCATTCGGTTTCAGGCGACTAGAATCCAGGCGACTAGAGAAAAACTAAAACTAGAATTTTCACCACACTTTACCCTTTTTTATAAAAGCATTTTTAAGTTAAAAACTTTAAACTAATTTAGCACCCCCCCCCCCCCAAATAAATTTAACAAAAATCCACTTACTATAGATTTAAGTAACATACAAGCTTGAACACAAGTCAATTCATCTCTTCTATTCGGCTTTTTATTACTCATCATAGGTTCAAAAATTGTTTTGAAAGTACTAGGCTTTACATGTTGTAACACTAACCATTTAAGTTTTTCTTCTTCCCTTCCGACAGCTAAATAATTAAAATTTGTAGGGAAAGCATGTTGTTGTTCATTTTGTTTTTCGTTAGCAGCTGAACTTGTGGAAGGGGTACAAATTTCCATATTTGAAGTCATCTTTGATTAAATTTTAATTAATAAATGAGAAAAAATTTTAGAATAAAAATAAATATAAAAATAATTTCTTAAAAATTAATTAGAAAAAAAATTTTTTGAAAATTTTTAAAGATTTTTTTAAAACAAATACATATAACTAGAAACACAAAACAATTAACAAAAATAGTACATTTTAAAGATTTTTAAAGAATTGGAAAGCTTTTTTATTTGAAGATTTGGGTCATTTTAATTTATAAACAGAGCTTTTTTGAAATTTTGATTTTCAAAGATTTTTAGGAACAATTCTGTTTATAAAAAAAGTCTTATGCGCTAGTGCTTTGAGGATAAAAGTCTGTAATTTTAAAGCAACGATTTAAATAACAAAAAGAAATTTCATAGGCGTACAACAATAGGTTAAAACTCTCAAGCGGTCTAACTTTAAAACCCCTATAACTCTTCGAAATGCACGTCAGGGGAAAAAGCCTGAAAACATAATAGGTTTTCGATCAAGCTCTATACGATAGTACAAAAAAAATTTTTAAAAGTTACTACGCCTATGAAAATACTAAAACAAAAAAAATTTTAGTAATGAAATCACAATTGTAAAATATCAAAAAAAAATTAAAAGAATACCACCGTGATTTTTAGAAAATGAGAAATTTGGAAAAAAAATAATTTCAAAAACTTTTTCGTCTATCATCTTTAAAGTCATTTAAATTACCAGAATATTCACCAACACTTTCCATTTGCGAATTTACAGCTTCCGCCAATTGAAGAATAAAACGATCTAACCAAGTAACAGAACGTGGATGAATGGGAGATTTACCTTCCAAAAATCCTAAATGGCCACCATGTTTGAGTAAAATAAATGCATGAAGAGGATGTGATTTGCAAATGTCTTTAACTGGCTTCCACAATGTTTCTGGGATGAGAGGGTCATCAAGAGAATTTATAAAAATCTGAAAAAAATTTTTTAATAAAAGAAAAATTAAAAATTATGGCGGAGCAAAAATTCTTGTGAGGTCGTTTTGGCCCCCTCTCTATTCCGAATTAGGACCCAAATTCCAAGCGAGATCACCGATTTAATGAAATTTTTATTCAAAAAATAAAGAAACAAACCATTGGCAATTTTATTCCCTTAATGTGTTGTAAACAACTAATTTCCTCATAATAATCCTCAAGACTTGAAAATCCATAAATTCTTCGACTATAACACTCATCTAACCATAAAAGCGAAGTTGAAGACCAAAGTTGCTAAAAAATTAAAAAATAAATTTTCCTCAAAATATTTAAAAAAACCTTTTCATTAATCAATCCAGAATTTACATGTGGCTGTATAGCCATTGCAAAATTATGGCGGAGCAAACGCTTTACATTTTCAGTTATTATATAATTATAAATTCGACGCCCAGATTCCCATTCCATGAAAAGGGGTGCTGTGCTTAAATTAAAAATTTTACTCAAAATCGATTATCCGCAAAATTTTTCGGACAAAAATTTTTTGTCCGCAAGTGTCAAAAATAAAAAAATTTACTCTCTAGCGGAATATCCTTGACAAACAGAAATAGCCAAAATAATTCTAGAAAGAATTGATTTTTCCAATTTAGCCAAACAATTAGTCATGACATTTGCTCCCATACTAAAGCCAACACCAATAAAACGAGTAGAAGGATAGAGAATAAAGAGAGAATTAAATATAGCTTCTAACTCCCCATCTCCACCTTAAAATAATCAAATTAAAGTTTTTAAAAATTAAAAAAACCATAAGAAAAAATTCTTGTAGAAGTTAAAGGAACATTTTTGAGAACACCCAAATGATTGAGAACTGCACATCTATAGCCATTTTCTTGTAAAAGATGGACACATGTTCGAATATAATTTGATTCGCTACAATTAGCAATTCCAGGGCAAAAAACCAAAGTAATATCGACTAAAAGAAAAATTGAAATTTTTGTTAGTTAAAGTCTTCCCAATTTTTTGACTAAAAAATAAAATTCCCACTAACCATTCTTTTTCGATTCTTTAAAAATTGGCTCAAAAACATCAAATGTAGCAGTAGCTCCATCTTTTAAAACAATAAAATGGCGTTTGTCAAAAGCTCTTTTAAGAGAATGATGACCAAGTATTCCATAAAACATTGTTTGTAAATGTCCATTTCTTCCCCAAATTGGAGGGGGAACATAACTAAAAAATAAAAAAATTTGAATAAGAACCCTGACCTCCCCGTGTATTTTCCCCTTATAAAATACCTAGATGTTTATCGACCTTCTCCTAAACTGAAAATTCCAGCTTCGGAAATTTTTTTGAAAATTCCTCCGTCCTCGCCCCAGAAACCCATTTAAAGTAAAAAATAATTATTCTTAAAAAACCTAACATTTCTTTCAAAATAGAGCATTGTTCCAAAAGTTCAGCCAAATCAACATTAACAAAATTTTCAAAATTGTCGAAACTATCATTGTTGTCAATTGAAAATTTTCTTTTAATTTTAACTCGTCCTTTTTTCCTCAAAGAAATTTGAGGTTTTTCATCAAAACTAGTCAATTTGAGGAAACGGGCAAGAAGAAAAAAACAAATAATTAGACAAGCATAACCTGGCGAAGCTAAAATACTTCCAAAACTTGGAGCTAATGAATAAATAAAATGCATATATTTTTTACATTTAAAAATCTCCTAAAAGACTTGAAAATAAAAAATTAAGATAATTGCAAATGAAATTTTTAAGATTTTGTAGTGAGAATCGGGGATAGGGGACGGATTGAAAAAAAACTAGGAAAAAAAGCTCGAGTTTAGGTCGTGTCAATAAAAAATTTGAATTTAGTCTAAAATTTTGTGAATAGAACCTTCTTGTCCTTAAGGTATTTGAAGTATGTTTTGGGTTTAGAAGATTCTTCGGTTAATTGAAACAGATAAAGTGGGAAAAAGATATATAAGACCGAAAATTTTCCAAGAGTAAGACTAATGTAAGTAATATGAAGAATCATGAAAGTCATGAAATACGGTCACGGAAAAAATTAAAAGAGTATTAGAAATCTTTGGTAGACATTCTACAAAAAATCGAAAATGTTAAACGATCGATAAAAGGAAATAGAGGCAAATATTAAGAAATTGCCATTTTATTTAAAACATTTTGATAAATACCGCATTTACCATAACCGTTTATATTTTTTAAAAAACAAAAGAAAAGCTGCAAAAAACTAATTGTAAGCGAGATAGGAAATAATAAAAAATAAACTTTTGACTTTTATTTTAGAGGAGGAGAATTAAAATTCGTTTTTTTAAATATATTCTAAGTGAATGTTTTTAGCTACCTTAAATATAAAAGATGAGCCATTCTGCATTATTAAAAGGGAAGATGAAAAAAGACGGAAGGGGGAGAGAGACTCGGAACGTCTTATAATACCAGAAGCTTGTTGAAATACCAAGCCCCCAAATGCCATTTAGATGCTGACATAAACAGCGGAAAAAAGCTTGTAATACCAAACATGACTTCTGTCTTCCTCATTCCCTTTTAATAATACGGAAGGGCTCATCTCTCATATTTAGATAGCTAAAAACATTCGCAAAGAATATATTTAAAAAACGCATTTTAATTCTCTTCCTCTAGAATAAAGGCCTCAAAAAGTTTCCCCATCCCCATTAAACATGATCGTGTAAATATACCTCCACCACTGATAACATGAGCCCCGGAATTTGACAATGGCTCTGCCGGAGGACAACGTAACCATTCAACCACTTCTATACCAGCTCTTCCATTCCACCCACAAAAACATTGCATATAATTGAAATACTCAAACTAATTTAACAACACAATCAAGCGCAACAACCTCAACGAGATCCGTTGAGACAACTGAGTAAAAGAATAGATTGCGAGACAATTCGGATCTCCAAAGTTATTGTAATACAAAAATTTATTTATTTTTTGAATATTTGTTACCTAAATTTTTCTTTTTCTTCTTCCCCTTCTTTTTCTTCTTCCTTCTAAAACAACATAAATTAAAAGAAGTTGTCTCAGTTGTTGAGGTTGTTGAACTTGTTGCGCTGGATTGAGTAGTTGTTGCGCTGGATTGTGTGAGTGATGTTGTTGTACTTGATTGTGTACCATCACCACCTCCATCACCTTCATCACCACCACCTCTTCCACCACCAACAATACGAGTGCCTGAACTAGATGATTGTTCAGCCTGAGGGCGGCGGCACCATTCAAAAATTTCTACGCCCGCTTTTATTCCCAATGCTGCATTTTTTTCTTCTTCCTTCTAAAGATTGTTCAGAAGATTGTTCAGCCTGAGGGGCGGCACCATTCAAAAATTTCTACGCCCGCTTTTATCCCCAATCCCCAATAGAAGGAAGAAGAAAAAGATGCTGCATTGGGGATAAAAGCGGGCGTAGAAATTTTTGAATGGTGCCGCCGCCCCAGGCCCGTAGCCAGGATTTTTTTTCGGGGGGGGGAAAGGGGGAAAAAATTTTTTGCGCCAAATTTTTGACGCCGAAGGCGCCAAAAATTTTTATTTTCAGCGCCGCAGGCGAAAATTTTGAGAATTTTAGAAGGCCGTAGGACAAAAAAATTCACTTTTTCGGCGCCGCAGGCGCCGAAAATTTGATTTTCAGCGCCGCAGGCGAAAATTTTTTGAATTTTGGACCTCAAGAAGCCAGATTTCTTCCTTTTTTAGCGCCGCAGGCGAAAATTTTTTAAATTTCAGAGGCCGTAGGCCAAAAAATTCACTTTTTTTGCCCCAGCCCTTCCCCAAATTTTTTCCTTTTTCCCATTTCGGGGGGGGGGGGGGAATTCCCCCCCTCACCCCCCCCCCCCCCCCTGGCTACGGGCCTGCGCCGCCCTCAGGCTGAACAATCATCTAGTTCAGGCACTCGTATTGTTGGTGGTGGAAGAGGTGGTGGTGATGAAGGTGATGGAGGTGGTGATGGTACACAATCAAGTACAACAACATCACTCACACAATCCAGCGCAACAACTACTCAATCCAGCGCAACAAGTTCAACAACCTCAACAACTGAGACAACTTCTTTTAATTTATGTTGTTTTAGAAGGAAGAAGAAAAAGAAGGGGAAGAAGAAAAAGAAAAATTTAGGTAACAAATATTCAAAAAATAAATAAATTTTTGTATTACAATAACTTTGGAGATCCGAATTGTCTCGCAATCTATTCTTTTACTCAGTTGTCTCAACGGATCTCGTTGAGGTTGTTGCGCTTGATTGTGTTGTTAAATTAGTTTGAGTATTTCAATTATATGCAATGTTTTTGTGGGTGGAATGGAAGAGCTGGTATAGAAGTGGTTGAATGGTTACGTTGCCCTCCGGCAGAGCCATTATCAAATTCCGGGGCTCATGTTATCGGTGGTGGAGGTATATTTACACGATCATGTTTAATAGGGATGGGGAAACTTACGCTTCGATTTTTCTTTTTGGCCTTTCCGGTTCCTAATATTTAGCTATCTAAAAACATTCCTTCAAAATACATTTAAAAAGTCATTATAATTCTTATTAAAATAAAAACCGCAAAAGTTAAAAAGCTTCTCCTTTGTTTTCAGATCAACAAACTAAAGATATAAAATCCAAAAACAAAAAATCATTGCTGCGGTGTCTCTTCCTTCTTCTCACCTTCAGTAAGTTTATTGAGCAACTCTTTGCGCTTCGCAATCAAACGTTCTTCACGCCTCTTCCTCGTCTCCTTGTTCTTGTTTCGGCGAGCCTCAGCTTGTTCACTAAAAGTACAAAGTTTAAAGTCCATGTCTTGTAAAAACATACGCAAGTTGTTTAGAACGCTGGTTCTCAGTCTTCTTTTTGAAGATATATTCCATAAGGTTGCGCTTGTTCTTAAATGCGTTTCCTTTAGCCTTCAAGTAAAGCTCATGGTAAAGATGCTTGTCAATCTTCTTCGCAGCGCGATAGCGCTTTAAAAGATGGCGAAGCACACGCATTCGACGCATCCATAAGACCTTCTCAGGCATTCTAGCATTTCGAGTTCCGCGTCGTTTTCCAAAACCCATATGACGACCCTGAAGTTTTCTAAGTTTAAATTTTTTTAGAAAAACAAAACCTTTCTGCGTGCTTCCAAACGTTCACGAGCTCGAAAACGAGAGTGAATCTTGCCAGGCTTCTTAATTATAAGACCATCTTTGACCAAACGACGAACGTTCTGACGAGAATTTGCAGCGGAAATCTCGTTGACTTCATTCGGATCCAACCAAACCTTCCCTTTGCCACACTTGAGAACCGCCGCCGCCAAACGTTTTTGTAGACGAAGATTGCTTAAAATTTAAATTATCACTAGGTAATGCAACAAAAATGATGAGTACTATCGGCTTATCTCCCCCAACTGTCAATGGTAGGGATTAAACTTTATAAAATGGAAATCTGACAGAGGGGAACTGATATTTTAAGAAAATAGATCTCGCATCTGGGATTTTCTCTAATAATTGTGGCGGGATTAATTCTGTATCTCACCACATCTACGGCGGACATTTACAATTTTATGAGGAGATAAAACGATAGCACCAATGGGTTTAATAGAATTGTCGAAATTGATCCCCTTACTCACCTCATTTAAGTCAAACCAATAATTGTCCAAAATAAATAGAATATTTAACTAGATAAAGTCTGAAAAACAAAGGGGAGGTTGTAAAAATAAAAAAAACTAAAAAGAGAATAAGTAAGATTCAACATCGTTCTAGATCCGGAAAAAATGACTTTTCCGAAAATTAAAATAAAAATTTTCAAAATTAACAAAACGCCAAAAACTTTTTCGTTAATAAAATAGGTTTTAAAATTTAAATTCAAATTTTTGTAGATTCCCCAGAGATTTTTTGTTTCCAAATAATTCTCCCTAATTGTAAGATTTATAATAAGAAAATCTTAAAATGTATTTTTGAAATTTATATTTTACAACCAAATTTGTTATGTATATTATTTTGTTTTTTCATAGAATTAAAAAAAATTTATTTTCTAAATTTTAATTTCCCCTAAAATTACAGAAAAGAGATCACAATTTTTAGAGATTTTTAAAGAAAATTGGAAAGGATTTAAAAGGAAAGGAATAAAAAAAAAGATTATTTTTATTTAATTTTTTTTTCTTCAATTTCTCTAATTTAATAAAGTTGTTGGAATGAATGAATTTGCATTTGTTCGCTTGATAAATGGCTCATATTTTTTGATTCTAGCCAATAAGTTTTACATAAACCTTTGCCCTTTAAAAATAAAAAATTTTTTTCGTATTAAATTTAGTTTGAAGTAATTATGTAACCATTAGAGATCGGACCTAGACGAGATCTCAAGCAAAAAATCTCGGTTATCGCGAATTGAAATCCCTCCCGGTGGTCTCCAGTAATTATTGTATTTTCCTTGTCTCCAAAGGTAAAATAAGAAATTTTCCTATCTTTCCCAGTAAATTTCTTTAAATTCTAAAATTTCCTCTTATTCATATTCAATTAACTCACATTTACTCGCCCAAGTCATTTTAGAAACTAAATTATTTCAGGAAAATTTAGGAGCGAAATGAGAGTTTCATCAAAAGTATGGGTCTTTTTAAGCGCGTCTTTCCCAATATATTATTCAATTTTACAAGCCCTTCCAAATTAAAATCCTACTAAAACTATACCTTAATTTCAACTTGTCCACGATGTTCAGTAACATATTCAGCATAATGTGTAGCCAGCAATTGATTAGTTTGGTCGCTTATTTGAATTTTTTCGGGCAATCCTGTTGATTCCATTCTCGATGCAGTATTGACCTTTTTATTATTTTTAAAAAATATTTTAATAAAAAATATTTACAGTATCTCCAAATAAACAATAACGTGGAGCAGTTAATCCAACAACACCAGCAGCAACCTTTAGTTAAAATTTTTAAAAATTATTTGGTCTAAGAAAAACAATTAATTGTCGAATATATGTTTAATTAGAGCTTCGTTATTCCGTATAACGGGACTTAAAAGGAGAATAACATTATTTAATGGTGCAATAAATATAGCGACATCTTAGGGGTTATCCCCGTGCTTGTCTGTATAACAAGAGTTAATAGACCAATTAAAGTCAAGTTTTTTATAAGGTCAGTGGTAAATAAAGGTACCAAAGCACCCATTAAGCCTATTGTCAGAATCGAAGTTAACCGAAATTTATCAAAAATTGTTAATAAAAAATAATTAATCGACTATTTTTCCTCGATTAATTACCCTCCTCAAATAATTATCGCTAGACTATTTATTTATTAATGAATCAAAACATAATTAACCCATTCCCCTCAAATCCCTACCACACGTTCAAAATTACAAAACTCGAATTGCCCTCCCTAATTAATTATCCATTACACCGAGTGTTCGAAAGAAGGGTATTTATTCAAGAAAATACTGTTTTTATAATTAACTTACCGGTCCTGAATGAAAACCCCATCGACATTTAACCTTTAAAAGATTAAAATTTAATGACAAAAAATTATTTAACCCTTTCTTTTCGTCTATGAGGAATTTCATAACCAGAAAGAAATTTACGCATAGAAAGAGCAACATTAGCAATTGTATCAACGTGTCGATTTTGTGCCAAAACACTTTGGTCTTTAGGTGGGGGAATTCCTGCAACAACCATGTACGCGTCTCCAATTGTTTCTACCTTTTTAGGAAAAAAAGAGATTTTTTTAATTTATTTTTTTAGAAAATTTAAAGCTTAGAAATCACCCCAGTGCCTCCTTGATATAAGGCCTCCCTAGCTGGTTCCGATATTTATACTCCCAAAGAATCAGTGTTTCTCTAATTAAAGGTAACTTGGAGGTATGGCTGGGAGATGCTGGGAAATACCCGAATATCCGGATCCAACATCCGGATCGAAAATTTCCGAGTTATCCAGCCATACCTGGGGCCATCTTAATCTGGGTCGAATAATTTGAAATTAAATTTCCCTCCCGAGAAGTTAAATTTCTCCTCTCGAGAAATTAAATTTCTCCTCTCGAGAAATTAAATTTCTCCTCTCGAGAAATTAAATTTCTCCTCTCGAGAAATTAAATTTCTCCTCCATTTATTTAATAAGACTAATATTCTCGTTTTACAATTGAATTTAATGTTCTAAGTACTTCTGGAAAGGAACTAGTAATTTTTTAACTAAATTTATATATACTTTATAAGCCCCATGTTCAAGAATTCTGTCATCAAACCCAGCATATATTCCATTTAATAAAGTAACAACTTCAAGAGGAGAGCTTTCTTGACATATACGAGTAAATCCAACAATATTAGAAAAAAGTATTGTGGCAGAAGCAAAAGTTTCTGGAGGAACACGACGTCCAGCCTTTAATTCTGTAGCCACATATCTTTGTTGGGGGGAAGGAAGGAAATTATTTATTAGGTATTTTAAATTTGTATTGAATTGACGCGGAATTTAATTTTTCTATTAAAAGGTAGTGTGATAATATAGAAAAGATTTTTCCAGGAACGAGGAAAAATTCATTCCTCTTAAACAATAAAAAACTCATTGAACTATAAATTTCTTGAGGGAGAAAGAATTTTTTCCAAAAGGAAACGTTGAACCTAAGGGGAATCTAATAGAAGCCCATGTTCTATTTGAAGACCATTTAATGAGGGGTAGTGAAAAATAAAAGCACAGGGCATCTATTAGGACTTTTTCCGGCAATTTCCTATTTCCTTTAAAAAAATTTACGGTGGCAATAATTGATTTAATAGTCTGTCAGCACGGGCATTAGCTTCTTCAAGCATTTCTGTACGTTCACGAACAACTTTTTCCAAATTATTTGCATATTGTTCCATAACTCTCATCATTTGTTCTACTAAAGAACCTTTGCTGAAAAGAAATTGAATAAAACGGAAATTTAATTGAGGGGGTTTTTCTAGTAATAATTAATGGATTATGGTCTAAATTTAACCAATAATTCTTTTCTAAAATATTATATTTTAATTGAAAATGTATTAAATTGGCAAGGTTTTTAATAGAGTTGGGCGGCATCGGGATTTCGACATAGAATCGGGATTTGGAATAATCGGGATCTCGATACCGCCCAACCAAGATAGGCTTGTCAGTTTCAGAGAATACAGAAGAGATGAGTCAACTCGAAAAAAAACCATTCAAAGCTATCTTAAGCACTTATCTCCGGTTGCGGACAAATATCCGAATAGATTGCTCTTTCGCACCACGGATACCCAAGACAGGCAATCCCAAATAGGCAAGGACTGCTGCCATATTTGGCAAAACCGCCATTAATTTTTTCAAAAAAACTAGCCATTTAAGAACAGATTCAGTATTTAAACGAACACGTCGAATACTTGGACGTATTTCCGCATTTTCTGACCAACAATCAATTAAAAGGGCGGCCATATCCGGATGTATTTGAGTTTCCTTTTCTTGAATTGTTGGTTTAATGTGTCTAGATCCATCATCTCCAGAAGCCCCCACACCTAAAAAATAACAAAATTAAAAATTAAATTTTTTAATTAAAAAAATATTATCATTGTTGCCGTTTCGCGTATCTAAAATTTACCAAAAAAATAAAAAAAGGGAAAATTAAAGAGAGACAAATGATTGGATTTGTATGAATTATTGGGTTAATAATTAATTAATTTTGTTTGAAAATAATTTAAATATAATGTCCCATAAATAAATTTTAAAAAATACTTACTTGATAAATATAACCTTTGTTTAAGGGGTGTTTCGGGAATTTTTTAGAATAAGAGAGGGGATTAATTGAACAATGGATAACTTTAATTTAAATTTTTGGTCTCGAAAACTCTTAATCGGCTTCTAAATATTAAAGAGAAAAGTGAAGATAAAAATTTTGCTCAATAAAATTCCTCAGATATCCTAAACCGAGAACTCCTCGGTTCAGTCTAGGTACTTTTTGGATATGTGCCTCCTTCTAGTTTGAATATCAGTTATTTTTTTCCTTCTTAATTTTTGGGTATATTTGATCAAGCAAAAAAATTTATTTTCTGCACTTTCATTTCGTTAATATATATTGCATGGAAAAATAAATGATAAGCATGAAAGAGGAAAGAATAACTGAAACTCATATTAGGGGGGGGGGGAGTGGGATATCCGAAAAAGAGCCCTTATTTATTATTCCCGAAACAACCCTTTATTTTTCTTCTAAACAAACAATAATTCAACAAGTTTTCCCAATTAAATGCCAAAAATAAAGAGTCAAACTGACCAGAGAGGTCAACATTTCTAGGGAATGGAAGATCACGGAATAAAATTTCATACATAACAATTCCAAAAGCATAAATATCCCCAGCCTAAAATTTAAAAAGGAAATAGAAGTTTGGGCCAATTTCTGAACCTGTCTACGCATAACAGATTGTTGAATCCAACTTTGATCCATACGGCGACGTCTATTTTGTTCTCGATTCTTCAACATTTCGGGCGGGCAATAAATATTATCTTAAAAAATGAATTTTAATCGAAATCTTTCAGGTCTAAAGTAAAATTTAGGCAATTAGATTTCAAATCAGATGAAATTTTATACGCACGAGCACGACGATCTCAGAGAGTAATAATGTGATGTGATAAGAATCCCTAATTAAATATAATCTAGGTAAGAATGTTCCTGATACGATGGTCCTTCTTATAACGGGGCTAAAATCTAGGGGTGACCTGCCAAATTGGGAAATCCTCTATACAGTCGTCTAGAGCACAGGGTTTTTTAGCCTAACCGTTAGTTTTCTCATTCCAAATTAATTAAAAAACAACAAACAATTAGCTTTCAATCCCCTTCTATCAAAAGCAGTTGGACAAGATTTTTCTTTACTTCCCCGCCTCTTTTCTTTAACAACTTCTTCCTCTTCCTCGGCCTTATAAGGCTGTATTTGCCCTTCCTTTTGCCATCTTTCCAGCATTGTAGCCAATCCAAAATCAGTTAAACGAACAGACCAATTTCGGTCAATTACACAAGTAGAAGGACTTAATAAACCGTGAAAACCAACTTTTGATAAATGCAAATATTCTAAACCCTAAAATATTTTTTAGGATTTTTAAAAAATATTCCATAATTTTTCAATTACCAAAGTAATATCACGAACAAAAGCAGCATGGAACTTCTCATCTAAAGTCATACTTTTGTTGTAAATAATGTCTTGAACACTCCCACGCGAACAAAACTTCCATAAAATAAACCTAAAAAAGCTTCGTTTGGATTAGAAAAGGATGTGTAATTTTTTGGATTAACCGGGCTCAGTTATAAAATAAACTTTACAAGTGTTTGAGAGCTCCTTTCCTAATAAATCTAGAAAGAGTTTGCAAAAGTTTAGCCACCGGGCAGGATTCGAACCTGCGACCACCTGCTAGTTATTGCTAGGCGCTTTCGCTCACTATATGCAGGAGCTCTACCGTTGAGCTACCGGGGCATCGACTAATGCTTTCTCTTTTTCCTTTTTAGATCGTTTATCCCCCGCCTAAGCGTTTTAAATGTTGCTAGGTGAATCATCCTTACAATCTTACTCCATTCAAAAATAATCTCAATAGGTCCTTACAGTCCTCACAATTGTTTCCTAGTCAAAGCTATCCCTGCACATTATGCTTTCCCTTCCCAGATAACTAAAGGTTCATCTCTGGTTTACAATTAGTCCTTCTAATCTTGGACTTCCTTCAACCTAAACAATCAGAGTAATAGGAATTTCTCGAAGATTTATAGGAAGGGTTTATTCCAGTTAGAGACCGGATCGAGAGAGATTTCGAAAAAAATCTCGGTTATCGAAATGGATATTTTTCGAGATATCAGGTCAGGGTGGCCCCTTCCAAAACACTAAAATAGGGCGCAGCCACTCAAAAATAGGGCAAAAATAGGGAGAAATCGACCACAAATAGTGCAAAAATTAGGGTATAGTTTTAAAAGCTTAAACATAATTAAAATTTCAAATAAGGCGAAAATTTTGAGAATTTTGGAAAGCCAAGAATCCAGATTTCTTCTATTTTTTGCGCCGCAGGCAAAACATTTTGAGGATTTTGGAAGGCCGGGAAGTCATAAATCCTTCATTTTTACCATTTTTTTTACAAAATCCGAAGAATTTTTAAAAATTTTACAAGATGGTAAAAATAGGGCAAAAATATGGCAAATGAGAAAATAGGGAAAAAATAGGGCGAAAAGGTCAAAAATAGGGAAAATCCTCTAGAAATAGGGTAAAAGGGCCACTCTGTATCAGGTACAACACTCCCAGTCCGGTCTATAACTTCAACACCAGTACTATGATAACCCCTTCTATCCCTATTCTGAATTCTCTCCTTCACGCCCTCTTCCTCCTTCTCCCCCCCCCCCTCCCCCCCAAAATAAACAATTTTTCCTTACATTTCCTCTTTATCATTAAAGGCCATTCCAAGGAAAGGATTAATATTATCGTGGATAGCATCTTTTACAGCTGTCAACAAAACCATATCTTCTCTATTAAATTTTAATGGTTGTTTTTGTATAAATCTTCTATAAGTTGCGTGTGTATTAACACCAAGTATTGCGTGCTTTTTGCTTCCCCCAATACTTTGATTTGACAATTTTGTATTAGAACTTCCAATAGAAAGAAGAGAACGAGCTGCTTCTTCGTCAATTAAACGAAAATCGTCGCTGAATAAACGCCAAGGCATTTTGTTTAAAGCACGGGTTTGGCTGAGGATTGAATGGGAAATTTTTGTAATTTTTTATTAAAAGACAAAAACACCAATGTCGACGTAACAACCAAAGTAAAAGAATAAGCATAATTAAAGCTAAAACAGTTGCGCCAACAGCAATTTCTACAGTGTAGGAACAACGTTGACCTCTGAAGCCGCAAACTGGTTCATCTGGGGGCATTGCCCCGTTCTCAGAAGGCCAGAAACCAGTCATTACATCAGTCAATTTCTGAAATGGATTTTTTTAGAACTTAAATTATAAGGTAGTTTGACACAGAATTAGCTAATCTCGTTATATGTTCTTTGGAGATATCGGCACTCATCTACATATAACGGTATCAAGCGCTAGTCCCTCACGGAATTATGAAGAGAAAATGTGTATACTTAGACGCTCCCATTTGTGACATTATAATGAGTAAAGCTTCATAATTAGTGAAACTTCCAAGAGAAAATTTTTTAATAAAAATTAATTAAGTTTACCAAATCATAACACCCAGTTCTATTAATAGTTCCGTCACAATTTGGAATTCTATAAGTAGTCATCTGTACCATTTTCAAAACTTTCTCTCTGTTTGGAGCAATAAAGAATGCAGCGAATTGAGGTGCCCTATCAGCCAAGTCGTCCATTTGAACTAATCCAGTATTAGAACCTGAAACGACTGTTCCAATGCCTAAAAAGTTTCGAAAATAACAAAATCAGTCCTTTTAGTATTTCTTAAAAAATCCTTCTTTTAGGACTGACAAAAATATTTTTTATAAAATTGGCAGTCTAGCTTGGGTGGGGGTGGGGGGATAAAGACGGTATCTCCAATGTCATGTCAAGTCTTTCTCTGTGAGAAAATTTATTCAGAATGACCAAAGAAATCTTCAGAATCGTTTTTTAAACCGAGGAAACATTAGATCCCAGATTATCTAAAACTGATATCAAAGTTATATAAAATTGTTTTTCAACTCCCAGTTGATCAATTTCAATTTTTATCACTCTCACAGTTAATCAATCATCCGGAAGAGTGATCGAGAGTGATCAACTGAGGGAGTGATTAGCCATGAGAGTGATCAACATTGAAATTGATCAACTGGGGGTTGAAAAATCATTTTTTATCACTTTGATATCAGTTTTAGATAAGATTTTTTTTCGTTTGGTGACCAAAATTCCTATTGGTGACCAAAATTTCAGTGTCCAATATTCCGTTTTTTGACTTGGTGACCAAAATTCCGCTGGTGACCAAAATTCCAAAAAAGTTGGTGACCAGAGTTCCGAAAATCCTTGTGACCAAAATTCCGGTGACCAAAATTCCGTACACCGTCGGTATAGGAGGAGTATACCGTATTTTAACTAACTACTCCGGGGACTTAAGAGGTTATGCGGTAATTTTTTTAAATTCATTTCCAACAAAAAAAATCCCCCTAAAAAACACCGTCAAAAGAAAGTCGTCTCATTGCACTCCAAATTTGATGTCCATCAAGTACAGCAGCCGTTTGATTAGCCTCATCAGTCTTATTCATTACCTTCCGAACAGCTAATGCATACAATTTTAACGAATCATATAAATGTAGATAAGCAAAAGTGTTGGTCTAATAAATATTTAAATTTTGTTTAAAATTAAAAAAATTTTTTTTGAAAATTAAATTTTTAAAATTAAAAAATAGTTTAAAGTTGTCCTTTAAAACCAAAGATTTTTTTTATTTTTTTTTGTTTTTTAATTCACTTGCGTTTGTGTGCTCCCTTCAGATGGCCTTGTTGATGAGGCCATTTTCTAAGATTTTTTTAAAATAATTTTTTTCTTTAATATTTAACCTTATATCGGTTTGCTAAAAATTTTTTAAAATTTAGCCAAGCAATTTCTCTTTGGTTTTTTTATTAAATTTTAAATTTAAATTAATAATGTGGATATAGTAGTCTCTCTTATGCACTCAACCAATGCTTGGACGCTCCTTACCTCGTATTCGTACCTGTTACGAAGTAGCTAACAATAACTACGAGTACGAAGCCAAAATTAGGGGGTGGTGATCAGAAATTTTCAAGCAATGCACTCAACTCTTTCTATTTACTAAAGCAATCTGGAAAGAACCGGAATGATTTAATACAGAGAAGAAACAAAGAAGTTTAACATATTTCTTGATTTTCCGGTTTATAGTCAGACAAAAAGTGAGAGAGTGTATAATAACAAGCATGTGTATAAGAGAGACAAGTCTGTTGCAGACATACATATTTTCTTTAAGTTGAAGATTTTAATTTTAGGACAACCGACAAAAATCCTCTTATTTTTTAAATTAAACATTTTTTGCAAATAAATTTACCAAATCCAAGTCTTCTTTTGCTAATCCAAATTTCTCTATTCGACTAACAAAAGTATCAACTAAAACATTATCAAATCCATTCACATCATCAACAATTACAGCATTTGCATAAGTATCTTTAACTTGTTGAAGTACTTCTCCTGTTGATCCCATCCATGGCGAGGCGTCTGAAAATTTTTTTTCGAGATTTTTTATTTTTTTAATGCCTTTAGGTCCAGATTGAAGCCAAGGAAGAATATAAGCATATTCTGCAGTATTCATTTGGACCTTTGAAATGGCACTCATAAATTCTCTAGTCAATTCACGAGTGTAGGAGAAAATGCAAACAACAACTAAAAAATAAGTTTTTTTTTGAGATTTTCAGATCTCCCCAATATTTTATTAAAAATTAGCTAATGTATTTATTTATTTACACACCAGTACTATTTTATCAAGAGTATTATGAAAGAGAAAAATCCTAATTTCCGTCTGTCCAAAAATCCATTTTGTCTATATTTTTGGATTTATTTTTATTGACTTATTTATAAAAAATATTATAAAAATATTTTTATTTTTTAAATTTAATTATTTTCGACAAATTATTTGGAATTAAAATCGTTAATTTACTTAAATAAATCGCGCAAAACAAAATTGGCGCCCCTAAAATTATATTTTCGGCCCACAACATTAATTTTAAAATTAAGTAAACTAAAGGTTTAGGACATGCGTCCAATGAGTGTTTAAGCGTCCTAAGAATGCATCCCGAAAGAATATGAATCCTAAAATACCAAAGACCCAGTCAGTAACCAGAACTGTTTTGAAACAAAAAATCTTCGAAAATCTCTAAGAATATACTTGGATGGGATGCATGGATGGGAAGCTTGTACTCAGGGGACGCTTAAACACTCATGGGACGCATGTCCTAAACTAGATCCAAATTAAGTACTAAATAATACATGGTTTTATATATTTTTTAATTTTTATTTGAAAATTCAAAAATATCCTTTAAAAATATTTAATAAAAATTTTAAGCAACAACTTAACTTATGTATCAAAAATTTTAATTTACTTTTCTGATAGGTGAATAAATAATAATTCTTTTTTTTATGTAAATTTTATTTTCTTTTTTTTTCTAGTTATTATCTCAATGTTTTGCCTAAACTTTGCCTATCTTATTTTAATTTTTAATTACTATTTAATTAAAGCAGAACAGAACGGTAAATTTTAATTCTTAAATATTCCCCCCCCCCCCCTCAACCATTTTTCCGAAATTATCCTTTTCTCTTTTTTGTCTTACTTCCCTTGCAGAAAGGGAATCACCTAATAAGGTGTTTTATGATGAGGTCTGCCCCAAGAAAAACCTAAGAGAAGTCTTGAATCAAATCTCATGACAAGTGATTTCAACGCGCCCAAAATACGAGTACGAACTCGTACTTAGTCTTAAATTATGCCAATCTGAAATTATGAAGCACTGCTCAAGGTCAACTCTTGGACTCTAAAGATATGTATAGGAAGGTTTGAAGAAGTTTTAAGAGGTTTAAGAGGTTAAGAGGAAGGTTTAAGAGCTCTAATATTTCATTATAATCCTTTCGCCTACATTATCACATTTTGAAATTATGGGGAATGAATAAAAATGGGGAATGAAATAAAGGATGGGGAATGAAATAAAAATTTTAACAAAATTATATTATGTTGTTTCAGTAGACAACGATATAAAACAATTAGTTTTAAAAGCATGTTGTGGGGATAATTGTGAAGAATTTCAAAGACCCGAAGAGGTAAATTAAATGAATTTTTATTTTTGAAAAATAATTTTGTAGATGTATGGAATTATGTGGTAAAATAAATTAAGGAATAAAATTTATTTTATTTTTTTGAGTTGTGGAGATGAACCAAGTAACCAATTTGAAGAAATTTGTTGTGAAAATGTTCCAAGGAGGTAGAAAAATTTTAAATCTAGGTCTTATGATCTTAGGGAAAATGTTAAATAAATTGAGATAGGGAGTTGTCTTTCTTGACAGTTCTGTTATTCGATGTTCCCTTCACCCTACATATAGGCTGAAAGGAACATCATGGAGTGAAAGGAACACTTTCGATGTCCCAATAATTTTAGACGCAAACAATCTTCGAGTTTTATTGACCGATGTTGTGGCAATCAAACTTTAGCTTATGACCAAACTTGTTGCCAAGGAGTTGTACACAATATTCCTTCAGGGGAATGTTGTGGCAAAATGGCATATGCCCGCAATTCATTTAATACTCTTTGTTGTGATGAAATGCTTTTAACAAATGTAGACCCGTCTTTAATTTGTTGTGGTAAGCTTGTTGTAGTTTTAAGCAAGGAAAAATTGATATTCAGGCAAAAATGCCTATGATGGAGGAAAAAAAGAAATTTGTTGTGGAGGACAAGTTTCTCTCAAAGAATTATTTGATGGATGTTGTAATATTTATGTAGGTGTTGATAAATTAATCAAGGGGGTCCGCGGAGTTGTCAGCATCCCTTTAGCATGTGACCAAATTTGCAAAGGAGTTGTTTCGGATGAATTCTAGTTTCATTAGCGGGGTCATCAACGTATCTTTAGATTTTAGAAACCTTCGTTCCGTCATCCTTTCTTTATCTTAGCAAAGTGAATTAACTGTAAGGAGAAGCTGTCAACACTTTCGTGCCCTTTTTGGAAACAATAATGGAACTAATAAAATCCTTCAATACCTTCCAACACAACTTTACTTGCTTTAATAAATTTATTTCAGAAATTCTATTAAAATTCTCTCTAACATTTCAGAACACAGCAGAATATCAACAATACAATACCCGAACACAAATTTGTTGTGATAAACCAATAGAACGTTTAGGCAAAACAAAATGTTGTTATTTAAAAGATGCCCAGGGACGTTTTTACCCAGCTAGTTATGATTCTAGTTCTCAATGCTGTACTTTCCCATTTTTGGAAATAACAAATAAAAATGAGAATGGAACTTGTACATGAAAGAATTGAGAGGAAAATGAGATTGAAGATAATAAAATAAGGGGAAGATTAGAGACTCTCAACTTTTTTTCTTTCATTTTTTTCTGCCATTAATTTTATGCTCTCTTTATTATTAAATTTGTACCCTCATTATTTTAATTTATTTATGGAAGTATAAACTTACTTCTAGCATTTTGTGAAATTTCATTAAGCAAACCACTCTTTATTATTTCATTAGAATCCCAATTTTCATCAAAAATTACCTTAAAAATTTAAATTTCCAAATAAAGTAGAATACCTATCTAGATTTTATTAAAGTTCGGCCATTAGGTGCTTGAAGAGAGCTAAGTGATACCCCCAATTTTTAATACATTAAATTTCAAAATTAAGACCATGTAAACCAAATTTTATATTTTTTCTTTTACCTTCTTAACAACAGTTACTGTATTTGTTCGACGAAATTCTTCTTCAAAAGCTGCTACACGTTCATAAGCAATAGGCCCACTATTTGTTACTAATGCAATCTAAAGGAGTTATTTTTTTAGGAATTCAAGTGAAACAAACTAAACAAGCAACGAGAAAAATAGTTTTCAAAGGGAGAAATTCGAAGCTCTACTGGAAATGGAAAATTTTCAGCTAAAGATAAGCGAACCTAGGAGAATCCTATCCTTAGATTTTGACTCAACACAAACTCTAGCAATTTACAAATTTATTTATCAAACATTCAACAAACAAATATACAAAAAATAGCAAATAGAAAAGGCTTACAACAAAATATGAACAATTATGATGGGAAATGAGGGAAAAATTATCACATTACAAAAAGTTTGAGGAATATACATATCACAATCCTATGAGTTTCTGTCATTGCCCACATCACTCGTCGAACTTCTGTCCTGGCTTCGGTTTGCGACACAGCACCAAGAATTTGTGGACAGCTGGTCCCTCGAAGCGCTCGTCCTTGCCAGCGACGACAGCCGATGCACGCTCGTTACGGATGTCCGCTTTGCCGAGTGCCTCCTTGCCATTTGGTAGAGTTAGCAGGCATGGCGAGATGTTTCCTGAAAGGAATAATAAAATTTAAGGGTTAGCTCAAGGTATTATATGATCGATACCTTTCACGTGGTCCACGTGTACTGGATAGTACACTCGGGAGTTCTTGTCATAGACGGCAGCATCACTCCACGGGCGCCAAAGGTAGTCGTAGCCGCGAACTTGCTCAGGAAGGTCGACGAGGACTTGAATGGAGCCAATATTGTCGGTGAAGGCCTTGCCGTTCCAGCCAAACGCAGCAGCGACCTGAACTCAAAAAAAACCACAAACTAATTTATTTATAAGAAATAAATTTTTTCTCACCTTTCCACCATTGTTCCAGATGCGGCCCATCACAGGTTCACCGTGCACATACCACAAGGCCACATGCTGCTCAGCAGAGTCTCCAGCCGTTGCGTTCAGCGTCTTGTCACCAGCTCTCACCGTCCTATATCCTGGCCATGGGTCTCCCATCCTGATGTCTGCCCACTCGTTCAGCATGATGAGCACTGGCGGCGGTCCCTTGGGGCAGCTGGCGCACACACATCCTGGAGGGCCTCCTTTCAGATTTCTAAAAATGGGATAAATTTTAAAGACGCACCTAAACACCTAAACGTACCGAATAATGATCATCATTTCCGAGAGCGGTTTTCCAACGACGCATTCTGCCTTGCCAGCTTGTGAAAAGTAGGCTTCTTCCGTCTTCATGTTCAAGTAGCCGAGCAGTGTTCCACCAGGACGATTAACCCATAGAATGGGCATCGAGTCGCCGCACCGAACCAGTTGACGTTGATCGGTCTTCTCGAAACGGTCCTTGTACTTGATCCACTCGTACCAATAGCCGAGCGAGTTGTGGTCTCCTTTGTACTGCAGCACCTTAAGGAAAGAAAAAAAAGGTTATAGATTAGCTTACTAAAAAAAGACCCAACGCACCTGAATCATGCCGCCAAGATCTACTTTCCCTGTGAGCTCAGCCTTGCCGTACGGAAATGAAGCTTGTACAACGCCACCGTCGTTCCATGCGTAGCCGTGCACCGGCTTTCCGTTCTTGTACCACAGTGCGACGTACATGTTCTGCTGGCCCAGCACTTTGACAGGATTGTCCGGAAATGGCGACCCGATCGGATTGAACGCCCACGTATCCTCCTTCGGCGCAGGGTTTGGCATTGCGGCTTGCGTTGACGTAACTTGCGATGATGATGTGATGGACGAGATGAGTTGTTGACGGTGAGGAGTGGTCAAAAACCGTTGTTTTTATAGCCTTTCATTGAAGGTGGCATTGTGCAACTCAAAATAACTATAAAAACAACGGTTTTTGACCACTCCTCACCGTCAACAACTCATCTCGTCCATCACATCATCATCGCAAGTTACGTCAACGCAAGCCGCAATGCCAAACCCTGCGCCGAAGGAGGATACGTGGGCGTTCAATCCGATCGGGTCGCCATTTCCGGACAATCCTGTCAAAGTGCTGGGCCAGCAGAACATGTACGTCGCACTGTGGTACAAGAACGGAAAGCCGGTGCACGGCTACGCATGGAACGACGGTGGCGTTGTACAAGCTTCATTTCCGTACGGCAAGGCTGAGCTCACAGGGAAAGTAGATCTTGGCGGCATGATTCAGGTGCGTTGGGTCTTTTTTTAGTAAGCTAATCTATAACCTTTTTTTTCTTTCCTTAAGGTGCTGCAGTACAAAGGAGACCACAACTCGCTCGGCTATTGGTACGAGTGGATCAAGTACAAGGACCGTTTCGAGAAGACCGATCAACGTCAACTGGTTCGGTGCGGCGACTCGATGCCCATTCTATGGGTTAATCGTCCTGGTGGAACACTGCTCGGCTACTTGAACATGAAGACGGAAGAAGCCTACTTTTCACAAGCTGGCAAGGCAGAATGCGTCGTTGGAAAACCGCTCTCGGAAATGATGATCATTATTCGGTACGTTTAGGTGTTTAGGTGCGTCTTTAAAATTTATCCCATTTTTAGAAATCTGAAAGGAGGCCCTCCAGGATGTGTGTGCGCCAGCTGCCCCAAGGGACCGCCGCCAGTGCTCATCATGCTGAACGAGTGGGCAGACATCAGGATGGGAGACCCATGGCCAGGATATAGGACGGTGAGAGCTGGTGACAAGACGCTGAACGCAACGGCTGGAGACTCTGCTGAGCAGCATGTGGCCTTGTGGTATGTGCACGGTGAACCTGTGATGGGCCGCATCTGGAACAATGGTGGAAAGGTGAGAAAAAATTTATTTCTTATAAATAAATTAGTTTGTGGTTTTTTTTGAGTTCAGGTCGCTGCTGCGTTTGGCTGGAACGGCAAGGCCTTCACCGACAATATTGGCTCCATTCAAGTCCTCGTCGACCTTCCTGAGCAAGTTCGCGGCTACGACTACCTTTGGCGCCCGTGGAGTGATGCTGCCGTCTATGACAAGAACTCCCGAGTGTACTATCCAGTACACGTGGACCACGTGAAAGGTATCGATCATATAATACCTTGAGCTAACCCTTAAATTTTATTATTCCTTTCAGGAAACATCTCGCCATGCCTGCTAACTCTACCAAATGGCAAGGAGGCACTCGGCAAAGCGGACATCCGTAACGAGCGTGCATCGGCTGTCGTCGCTGGCAAGGACGAGCGCTTCGAGGGACCAGCTGTCCACAAATTCTTGGTGCTGTGTCGCAAACCGAAGCCAGGACAGAAGTTCGACGAGTGATGTGGGCAATGACAGAAACTCATAGGATTGTGATATGTATATTCCTCAAACTTTTTGTAATGTGATAATTTTTCCCTCATTTCCCATCATAATTGTTCATATTTTGTTGTAAGCCTTTTCTATTTGCTAAAGTATATTTGTTTGTTGAATGTATGATAAATAAATTTGTAAAATTGTTTGATTTAGTTTTTTATTCTTTCTGACATAGTTTTGAGCCTTGTATTGAGCTTTTTTGAGCTGCTTCCCATAGTTTGAGCTTTTAAGTTGAGCTTTAAGGCTTTCATGCTTTGCCTCATTGTACGAGCTTCTTTTCCTAGGTTCCTATGTAGGAGTTATCCTAAGCGAAAAATTTTCATTTCCATTAGAGCTTCGAGTTCCTTCCTTTTGAAACCTATTTTCTCCAAAAAAAAAACTCCATTTTACCTTTCTCCACCCATAATGTTCCACCATTCTTATCACAGCTTTAGCTATAGAATTTGTATTTTTTGAGGAAAGACGTGCTAATGTTTTGTAAATATTTCTGTCAGAAACTGCTGTCGATGTAGGCATATAAGAAATTGCTGGAATATTCCAAAATGAACACATTTTAGCAACGGCCTCGAATTCTTACAATGAAAATTTAAAAAATTCTTTGAAAAAAATTTTAATTACCGCTAGCACAGTAAGGTCCTAAGAAAGCTCTGACTTTCTAAAAATACAAAAAAATATTTTGTCTTTTAAATTTTAATTTACTTCTTTATGATACATTGAAGCAGCAACAGCAACTCCTTCAAAAGTATCGCCACATGATGCTGCTGATTGGATAAAATTGCTGGCATAGGTTATACTAAAAGAGAGAAATTTTCTGTTAAATATCTCGTTATTATCAAAATACAAACAAAAATAGATGTTCTTCACTTACTCAAAATCGAGTTCATCCCCAAGAACTCCTTCATCAATTAAAGCTAGTCGACTAATTTCCAAAACTCGATCACCATTCGGCATTGCTCCCTTCAAATTTAAATAAGTTTAATTTAGAATTTTAAAGGTTCAATTTAATTCTAGATGAATTATTCTTGGGAAAGGAAGTTCTCAACAACAGTAGCTCACTCCCTAATCTTCGACAATTCAATTAAAAGGGAGGGTGTCGCTCTGGTCGACTAATTAGATGTACCTCTAAATGTATCTTTTACCTATAACTAGGGTTGCCAAAATGGACCGACTCGGACCGAAAGATCGAGTACAGGCTCGACTCGATAAAAACAAGCCCGAAAAGATGCCTCGATCGTCGGCCCGACCCTAACTATAACCACATATTCTCTCCCCCTCACCCCCCCCCCCCATTCCCCTTATATTTTACCATAGCCCCAATATGCCCAATTTTGATAACAATTCTTCCATGAATTTCTTTTCTTAAAAATTCTCTAGTTGTTTTAGCTGAAGGAGTAGTAGTTGTTGCTCCAGTATTTCCTCCTACATCAGTAAATTTATTTTCATTTTCTTTATTTGAAGAATTTGTTTTTTGTTCTCTTTTAACCCTTTTATTAGATTGTAAATTCTCTGGAAGTCGATTGAAAATTAGAAGGGATTCGACAAATCCTGTTTCTTGATCTGGTGGATATATTGAAGAGGAAGAAACTACTCCATATAAAGTTCCATGTTTGGAGAAAAAACAGAAAGGTAAAAGACAAAATAAAGCAAAACAGACGAAAAATGGTCGAAGAATTGTTTTTAATTGGAAAATTATTTTATTCATTTTTGGTAAAAGTCTGAACAGAAAAATTAATTAATAAGGAAATTAAAATTTTGCTGATTTAGGAAATAGAAAAGAACTACAATCGAATTTTGATAAGACGTTATTCTGGGTTAACGACGCGATGACGAAAGAGACTTGATATCGAAATTAGATCATTTTATTATTCTGAAGACAATTTTAGGATTGTGTAATTCCGATTTTTTCTGACTTTAAAAAATAATTTTTCAGAGAGGTGATATTTCAGAAAAACAAATTCTGAATTTAAATTAACAAATAATTCTGATATGTTATGAGGTAATTATTTGAAAATACATTCTTCTGATTTTTAAATTTAAATAATTAATTTACGAAATTCTGGATTTCTAAAGTTTAAAAAATTCTGAATTTAATTTAAAAAAAAATAAAATTCTGATTTTATTTAAGTATTATGGTAAAAATAAACTGACGAGGAAAAGAGATATGCTTATGTCGCGTCTTGTAAAAGGCATGCCTTTTAACAAAATTAATATATTAAATTTATTTTAATATTATCTTCTATTTTTTATCATTATTTTAAGTACAATATTTTTATTAAAAATATTTTTATGGATATTTATTTTTAATTCTTCTTTGCTTACGCAAATATTATCCCCCTACTTCTTTTCATTAAATAAATTCCTTCTAATTTTACACCGAAAAAGTACTTTATTTTTATTTTTTTAATAACTCATAATCATTCTTTAGATCCTCTTAAAAATATTTTTTTACAAAAATTTAATTTATTTAATTGAAATTTCTTTTTTAGAATTTTATAAATTTAAGGAGGCAAGTCTCGGCAAGTTAGTCACTGGACATTTGGTCACTAAAATTTTTCGGCAAATTTGATCATCAATAGGTTTGCTTGCTAAAATGCGGTATTGACGCTTCTAAATAACTGGACCTATTATTTAGTCACTTCAGAATTTATGGTAAGTTAATCTTGTTTTAACTTCCTTTCTTTAACTTCAATTTGGGCGAAGCTATAATTATTTAACACACTATAAAATTTGGTACTCTTAGATTATCTAGTATATTTCTTGATTTTTGCTCTAGTACTCGTCCTTCGTATTGTACACTAATATTTTTCGCCTCGTACTTAAATTCCCATTTTTTCTTATATAAGGATTTCGGTACAAGTGTCCAAAAATTGTTGATAACCTTGTTTAATTTAATTAAAAGGCTCTCAATAAGATAATTTTATTTAATTAATATAACAATCATGAAGAAACCTTGTAATTTTCTTAAAAAGAAATGAGAGAATCTAAATTGTTAATTTTACAAATTTAACCATAAAAATTTAAAAAATTTCCTTTTTAAATTTATTTTCCCTTTAACATTTTTTTAAAAATAATTTTTTTCAATTCTTTTTACAAATTTTAACATTTTATTACATTTTATGTTTAAATATAAAAATTTATTTATTTTAACAATAAAAATATTTTTTATTATTATTTTCTTTTAGAGAGAGGAAAGATAGTAAAAGCCTCTTTCTCATTTTTTTGAAGTTTATTGGCAGCCATGCGCAACTGATCCGATGTTTTTGAATTGAAAAAATAAAATAATGGAATAAATATTTAAAAATTATTTTTGTTAAATTTTTTGTTTATTGCCAAATAAATATTTTTGTCAAAATAAATATATTAATCCAATAAATATTTTTATTTATTATTCTTATTAAAAAAGATTTTTGAGATTTTTGACATTTTTATTTAAAAGTTAAAAACAAAATTTAAAAAAATAATTTAGAAAAATCTAAAATTCTGGTATTTTTTAAAATTAATAAATTTTTTCTTGGCGCCTATTTTTCACCTTTTTCAAAGTTGAAATTAAATAGGAGAAATAAAGAGATACATAAGGTGGATTTATAAATATAATAGGAAAGGCGGATTTATACAGCATTATAAATAATAGAATAGGAGGTTCGAAAAACTTGAAATAACTTACCGTATTTCCTCTAAAATAGCCTCCAGGAGCTATTTTTTCGATCGACTTCTAGAAGGGGGGGGGGGCTAGTTTAGAGGAAATTTAGAGGTATTTTCAATTCAAAAATGGCAAAGATGAGCAGCCCAAGAAAAACTTTTTTCAAAAGTATTTTAAAATATTTTTCTTGAATTTATTTATAAATTTTTAACATATTTTTCTAAATAAATTGAATATTTATTTTATTAACAAAATTAATTTAATCCCCACTCGTTTATTTGAGAGAAATTTAAAAAAACTTTTGTTTAGAAATTTCTCTTCCAAATCGATTCCTAACCAATTAAAATAAAAAAATTTCCTTTTCAATGTTTAAAAATTTGAAATAAATGTTGCAAAATAATATAAAATAATTTTTAAATTAATTTTAAAAATTAGAGAATTTTAGAAAATTCTGATACAAAAACAATACTCTTTTGAAATTGTAGTAAATTTAATTTGTTATTTTCTTTAACAAAAATGACTTAATGAGATATCTTTTATCTTCTATTTAAAATTTTATATAGGCATATAAAATTTTTCTTTTAATAAAAAATCCCTTTAGATCAGGGATGAGTCGAGTTCGGATCGGGTTTAGGGTATTGGGTTAAGTAAACTGTCGGCTATCTAGTTTTGGGTAATCCGACTCCTTGCTATATTTTTATGGTCGGAAAATTGTTTTAAATTTTTTTGGATATTTATGTATAGTTAATTAATTAATTTTTAAAATAAAAAGTTTAAAATATTTTTACAAATTTTATTATTCTTTTTGTATTTTTATTTAATAGCCTAAACGTAATATGTATTCTCGACAACATTAATGACTAGCTATTCTTTTTTGATTAAAAAATGTTTTTTTTCCAATTTAAATAATTCTTTGATTTTTATTTTTCCAACTAAAAAAAAAGAAAATTTTTGTTAATTTTATTCTCTTTTCTTTCTTTTTTTATTTAATTTCTTTTTTTTTAACTTGAAATAATTTTAGCCAATTTTAAAAAGTTTTGCTACGTTTTCTTTAGAAAATATTTATTTTTAAATTGGTCAGTAAAAAAGTTTATTATATAATTGACCAAAAAAATTTTATTTCGTTTTTTAAAAGTTTTTTTGTGTTTTACAAAAAATTATTTTTAGAATTGCATTAATTTAATTAGCTTCTTTAGGTTAATAAAAATCTGTCTATTAATCTAGTAAAAAATTATTGGGTAAAAAATTGTTTGGTAGTTGGGTTGTTCCCCGTCCCCGAAAGTCGGGGAATTTGAGAGATTTTTTTGAAATTCCCCGTCCCGTCGGGGAACAACCCTAGGTAACCAAGGATTTTTTAATCCTTTGTTCCAGATATTTAAGAATTTAGTAAACCCGAAACTCTAGCAAAATTTATAGTCTAAAATAGTCAATTATCGTTGAATTTCCTTGAAAAGTGTCATAGATGGACAAATTTTATATGAAATTTTTATAGTAAATTTAAAAATTTGCTGCAGACTCAGTCCATTTTCAATTATTTTTAAATTATTTAAAAAAATTTTTTTTTAATATTTTTTTCCAGCAAAAAAGAGAAAATAATGTTAATTACTAAATTAAATAAATTAATATTTATTTTATTTTTATTTTTATTAAAACCTTATTCACTTAATTCAATTCAATGTTATTCTGGCAATCATTTTTCTATTGTTGAATGTCCTAGTTTGTATTGTATTAAACAATCACTTGGTTTGGATACTGTTTAGTTGTTTTGATTTTTTTAAATAAAAACTGGAATTTGAGTTGTTGAGAAAAATTTTAGTTTTTGGGTTAAAAAAAGGATTACTCAACTAACTTCGATTCGATTTCTAATTTATTTTTAGAATTCTGTTTTTGGGGGAAAAGCAGGAGGGTACCTCTTTTGCCTTATTTACAGAGCATTTGCTCTATTTTTAATCTTTTCGTCCTATTTTTGCTAGATTTTTCGGGTGTCAGATCCTGCCGTCCCGATTTACAAAATGGAAATTTATTTTTATGTCGACAGGATCTTTGGTCAATATCTTTGGGATCCTTTAAAATTTATTATTTTAGTTTATTTTTCTGACGTAAGTTTTGCGGGCAGGTATGCTGTGAGCTGGGTGGGGGCTTAGCAATTTAGGTTGACCAGGTTTCTATTAAGCCTAGATAGACATCACAAATATTTCTATCTTTTCCTCTAAATTCTAGGTTCGTTATTGTGATGGAACTGGAGTTTCTTCAATATGTACAACATATAGAACTATAGATCAATGCCAGAATGTGCCAAATCTTGTATTTTTGATAATTTATTCAAAATTTTTTTCAATTTTTAGGGCCACATATGTTGCTGTTCTGACCAATTATGTAATTCAGCAAATATTCCTTCAATTAAAAAAGCTTTAGTATTTACAATATTTGGACTTTGGATAATGAATATAATTAAAAATAAATTGTTAATTTAAAAGAAAAATTAAAAGAAAAAATAATTATTTTATTTAATTAATATTTTATTTTTTTTTGCTCAAAAATTTTCCTCTTAAAATAAAAGTAAATTGCTTAATTTTAATTAAGAAGTTTTAATAAAATATAGATGCTTAAATAATTTAACGACATTCTGGGGTTTTATAAATATAATTTAACAGATATTTGGGTAGTCATTTGTCTGAGTTGGTGGATCCTGGGAAATCTTCGGATATCCGGTCTTTTTTCCGTAACCGGATCCGCCAACCTTAGTCAGTTGAAACATCAATTAAAAAGTAATTGGTAACGCCTTCATCCAATTTGGAAAAAATTAACCAAAATTCCTCTTAATGGACCAAAATTAAAAAAGAACATTAAAAGCTTTAAAATATTAAATCGTTCGAGTCTATTTTAAATAAACAAAGTTATAAGCAAATAATGAAGACAGCGCCATCAAGTTTTACGTCGAAGTCGAATAAAAAATAAACTTGGAGACCCCTAAAAATAAATTAAATTTATTTCCAAGTCTCTATTTTAATATATTATATAAAAGTATTGGTAAAATTTGTCGGAAAAACTCAAGCTCTTTCCAGAGT